ACTCTACCGAATCGCTACCTTAACCGACTGAGGTTCGACAACTGAGTGTAGAACCCCCCAACACCCGCCCGAAAGGCACTCACCAGCTCCCCAATCTGAATTGCCCCAAGCCCCAGAGAAGGCCACTGCAAACAAACTCACCGCAAAAGTAGAGTATCACACCACCCTCACCACGCCCATCAGGAGTTGCGTTACCCAAGGAAACCAGCCACCCGGCACCGATATATTTCATACCTCTCCGCAAGACCTGCAATGCCTGACGGATGTGACAACGTTCCGTCACTTCCTCCCAATTGGTCAGTTTTAACCCTAAGCCAATACCATGCTCCTGTCCATTGCTGATGGAGCTAACGCTGAACGAACAAGCGGCTTAGGAACCACAGCAAGGTATCCTTTTTGCCCCTCCTTTGACTGGGACCCCCCCAGTGAAACGAACTGCCTTGTCCCACATATCCCAAACCTTCACATAGGCAGTCCGCGTAACTGGTGCCATAGGATTCCGTATGGATCGTCCAAGCATGGCGTCTCGAGCTGCCACATTTCCTCCAGACCAGCCTGTCCGTCCAAAGGCGCCCCCTGGGGCCGCCATTCGCAGCTTGTCCCCTTGTACGCGAGCCAAGTAATCAGCCCCTACCTTCCACCAACCAGGCACGTGGCGTGCCCGCACCCCATAATAAATTACCTGTACAGTGATACGAATCGCCGCTATCGGCGTACCTCCTGAACTGAGGACCTGGCTGGATGGTAAACCGCATGAACCCCACCATATTGTCCATGAATTTCGCATTTTCGTCCCTTAATCCTTCACCCTTTAGAGCCACGGCCACTCCCAATGGAAAAAAACTCAAAAGATGCCAACTTCGAATGGGAGGCATGACCTTTCCCTTCCGCACCACGGGGACAGCCCCTTTTTTCCTTGATCATGACTCTAAAATGATTTATGCAATTTAAAAAAGGTGTGTGGTGTGCTTATTGACTCACCGCCCGAACCCCTGTCTGCGCTCTCCTTACGTCCACCTTGCCAAGTTCTGGAGTATCTGGTTGACACCGACTCCTATCCGCGCTGGTCCCGCCTCAAGCCCGTAGGAGTAACACTCCTCGACCTGCTGGGAGACGATAACCTGGGTAGTCTGTTCTGATATAGCCTTACCAGTCCTTCCTCCCTGCACTCTGTTCTGTCGTCCTAATCTCTGCTCCTTCTTGCTGCCTGACCTTCCTGGCCGCAGACGTCCTGCCTCTGCCTTAGTGAAATCCTGCCAGATGAAGCTGAAGCACTGCACTGTGACCTCCTCCTCCTCACCCAGGTACTGGACCTCCTCCTACCACATGACTTCTTGACAGGCTCCTCACCTGCTCCTCCATCATTCATCCGACCTACTGCTGCTGCTGTGCCTGTCATTGTCCCTGCACTGCTCCCTCCCGTACTCACACCTGCTGACACTCCTCCTGTGTTCCTGCTCCTGAGAACGCCCCCCAGGGGGCTCCTGCTTGCCTCTGTCCCTTACGTCCATTTCCACCCATCCTTGTCCTCTCTTCGGCCCTCTGCTTGCAGTACCTGGCCTCTCCCCGTCCGCCTCATCCACTTGTGGCCCCTTTAATTAATCCTGGTTGCCAGACTTCCCCTCCATAGCTGCTCTGTTGTGCCTGTGAAGACTCCGCCTGCTGCTTCCTTCACCTCTGACCTGACCCTGACCCAATCCAGGGCCACCTCCGTCTGTGTCCCGCCGACCTGGACCCCCCCCGCCTGCCCTTTGAGGGGGGAGGGACCGCTTGTACACTGCTGGCTCCTTGCATCATTCCCCTCTGTCAGGTATGCCACCAGGGGCAAATTTACCAGGACGCCTCTTGCCGCTCTCTCCTCCATCTCCCTGCCCGGTGGCCATCATGTCATGCTGGATTCCGCTGTCCTTCGTGCTTTCCGGCCCCCCCCCCGCCTTACGGCAGTGGGCACTCTTCCTGTGCGGCCTCATCCTGGCCCGCCACCTCACCTGACCAGCGCCGCGTCGAACAGACGGTGCCGACCGCCCTCCAACTCCCACCTGCTTTCCGACCTCATTTTCAGCCGTCCCCTTGCCGCCTCCTGACATATTCTTGCACCGCCGAACTGCCGATGTCACTCCCGGGCTGCCGCTGTTTCGACCTCGCTATCCTTGCCGGCCTCCGTTCCGTCGCCGCGTGGGGAGGGGAGCAGACGTGCTCGGGGCACCCCAGCTGCTCCTGCAGCCACCAGCCACGATTTCTGCCACAACCTTTGTGTCCAGAATGGTGGCTTACTTGGAGTTCTGTCTAAGGCTGATGGGAGTGAGCATGCAGCAGCAGCTCAATTCAGCCTCTCCTGTACCTCCATGCTGCCTCCTGCCTCAATACTGCTCTGTTCTTCTATGCTGCCTCCATGCTGCTGCCTTCTCCCTCCAGGGCAGGCAGCTTGCACAACTGACAGGTAAGCTTAGATTCAGTTAAAATGGCCACTTCCTATAATGGCTGGTATAAATACTCCCCTTATGGCTTCGTCCTACCCAGCATGCTAGCTGTCACTAACTTCCTGTGGCTGCTATGCCTACCTCCTGGCTCTGTCACGGCCTATTCCTCTTAGCTGCGCTGATCCATGGGCTACAGGTCTTTTTGCCACTAACTATTGCCCTGATTCCCTATATTTCTAATCTCATTTTTAATTATTTTTTTCAGGAAATTAAAACGTATCTGCCTACTTGTGTCTTTATATTGTCAGGATTGTCTACCCTAACACACAAACCTGAGACAGATGAGAAGATAGGATTGAGCATATTACTAGCCCATAGGGTGGCAGAGCATAATAATGTAAGCAAAGTAGGCCTGAAAAGTAATAACATAGACTAGCCGAGGTCCAGAATACAGAGAGACAACAATGTGAGGAATTGGAGCCAAGGTCAGAATAACTGATTAGACAATAGTCAGGATGAGCCGAAAGTGAAAACCAGGAATCAAACTTGCATTCTCGGGCACAAAAAACAACCACAACAGAGCATTGCAACAAGAGAGAAGGTGTTTATAAGGGTACAAAATGTTCCCTATTGGCAGATGTCACTTTTTTGTGCCAGAACGTGTGTGGAAATTGACACCATGGAACGTATCAGCAGGATGCCAGGGTCTATGAAGGTCAGTGTGATAGGAAGCAGCACGAAAACTGATGCAGGAATGTTGTTGAGTTCACGTATCATTACTGAAGCTGGATCCAGCATCAAAATTGATGCAGGAAGGACCAACGGCCAAATCCAGGTTACACAGAGGAAGCGCCACAGAGACAAGTACCATGATATATATTTACTATCTTCTAGTGTTTGTTTAGGTTACTGGTTTCTACTTTGGTGTACAGTAGTGCGCCATGTTCTGAATTTCCTCTTATCTGAACTACCCGTTAACTTATTCTTTATACCTGAATGAATGAGGTGACCCTGACCCAATCCAGGGCCGCCTCCGTCTGTGTCCTGCCGACCTGGACCCCCCCTCTCCCCCCTCATTGAGAAGTCAAATAGGCAATGTCATGATTGGCTTAGAGAGGCCTTAGTCCAGACAGTACAACATCTCTCTGAGACCATCACAAACATATCAGTTTGTTTAAACAAACACTACTGAGCTACCTTTATTCAACCATAATTTTTCCAGATATTCACTGTAATGACCAACCATCTGCAACAGGGCCCATAGGGTACATAAAACACACACATATCACTGCAAACCAACATCAGACCACATATTCCATCCACTATGGACACATTAATTTACTGCAACTCCTTGCCAGTAGCATTGACCAGGGACCTGTTCCACAGCTGTCAAAGAACACGATGCACAGTGCACTCAAAAGTCACCCCAAAAGAACCTCGGCTCAGTAACCAGTGCCCCAGCCAAAATGTTCCGAATCAAACCCCCACAAGGAAAAACAGGTGAGCACCATGTTTAGGCTATGCCAGACCTAATCATGCATGCTGAATCATTGCAATACTGGCGGTTTTCTACATAAAATTTGGCCTACATTGGTATATTGCATTGCCCGCCTATTGCACAGCTGTGATAGAATCTGGATTCTACAGCTGCTTTATCCTGCCGCCAAGCCACCAACATAAAATGTAATCTGAGAAAACATAAAAGTATATCAATAACAAGAGAATGCATGCTTGATTTACCTGTTAGGTATTATTTATGGATTGTTCTTGAAAAGTACCGTGACTATCCACACTCCTCTTACTTGCAATGCTCAACTGTGGCTTCTGTTTCATCAATGACGGTTTATCAGAATAAGCTGTCATTGTATTAACCACAAAGTATCAACAACAGAAGCTGAGTTATACTACATTGAAAATTATTTGCATAATAAGAGACTGAGTCACATTTCTCTTCTACAAACCCTTCGGTGCTTTGGTATTTGTTAAGCTAACACCAAAGGGAGGGTAGGTGGGCTGGAAAGGACTTGGCTTGTATTGAAAGATCGACAGTCGACATCATTCAAGTCACATGACAGGCAAAGGCCAATTAAGGCTGATCTATTTTTTTTCTTTATTTTTTTTCAAAAACAGGGGAACAATTTTGCTTGTTATTTTGGTTGTGCAAAACACTTGTTTGGGCCACATAAGCAACCACAGAACCACAAGTCGTGTGACAAGGCAGTCACACAAGAGTGGATCCGGATTCTTGGTCATCAGAAAAAAAACAAATGATTTTGAGTGAAAACCACAGACTTTCAAACAGAGGTAAGCATCATCACAGCCACAACCAATCCAATCTATGTCATTTTTTTATTTTTTTTTATTAGAATTTTTTTTGCATTTCTGTATTTTACTTTAGCAAGCTGCATTAGCACCTAGTTTGCAGTATACCACGCAGCTTAACTTCTAGACAATTAGAATTTGAGGACATGAAAGTGACTTTGGTTTTCTAAGAGAAGCTAAAATTCTACTTTCAGACCGCCGTGAAGACGCAGGAAGTGCAAGAAAGAATTGATAGCTTCGAGCAGCATGATCGACTCATTTCCTCTATACCAACCGTGCTTTGTAAGAGGTGAGTAGCTTCTCTTATCTACGTGATCATTGAGTGACTGATAAGCATTTACAGGGAAACCGTTATGTCAGTTGTTAAAATTTATTGCTTAGCACCCACAACTGTTTCCATCTAGAAATTATAAATGTGTGTGAAATGTGCTATTCTTTGTCACGTGACCATTTCTCAAGAAGCCAAGTGGGCTAATTAATTGTTTGCACAAACCCTTTATCTCTTTGCGCGGTTAGATATCTCGCCTGGCCCTTAAAGAGTTAATTCTTTACAAATCAGTAGGATGAAATGTATGTGAGTGTCGATTATGATCGTGTTTAGTTGTCAAAGTATAAGGAGCAGGACTGTCTGACCAGAGGTAAGTTTACAGGGACATTACAGCTCATATTCATTTCCTGAACGTTATCGGTAAATGTTTTAAGCTGCTTAGTTTTGAGGATATCGGTGTTATAAACAATTATAGAGGCTGGTTTATAAATGTAATATAAGTGTTTTGTTACCTTCACAATCAGAACAAGCAGAATGCGCTACAGATTATGTGAACATCCTTTAAATTCGAATTAGTAAAGACATGATTTATAGCACTAATATACAAACCCATATAATATTTATAATTTATTATAAATTATAATAATACTTTAATAAAGTGAGAGTAAACATACATATGGGTATGAACATCGCCGTTAATGTAGCCGCAATACAATGTCTTAATTATTTACTTGCCATTTAGCTATAACATCTATTTAACTCTTAAGAAATGGATTAAAGCATCATTCATTGAAGTATATCGTAAAATTGCTATTCAGTTAATAGAGATAAACTTATTTCTGGTTTTATAATAAAGCCAAATGGTCTTACCGCCAGTTACTACTTTGGCTCACAGAATAACTTAACTTAATTCAGGTAGGGTGTCTGGGAGATATACTGACATGTGAGATGGATAAGTAACCTCTTCCACCCCCTATGTTATTCTACAAATAGTCCATGGCTTATGTATGGTAATATACTCCTCAATTAGAGCAGGGAGGGCCACTGTGTATACTGCTATTGCCATCATTATTTGCTAGCCTTTACTGTATTCCTTTAAATTCATTTATAGTGAAGGGGAATATGTAAAAAAAAAAGTGGGACATATTTAAAAACCACAAACAAATTTAATAAATGCTTGGGTTACACTTTATTTACCAATTACAAGATCACATTGGAAGTGTTTGATTGTAAGATATTTTAAAAATTGCATGTTGCTCCGTATATTAAAAAACAGCAACAAAACTCCTCCTAATGTGCTTTTTAGAATACCATTAAAGAAACACTCCAAGCACCAGATATCAGTGAAGGTTCTTAGCCAATGAGCTGGCCTCGCACTGCAGAGCTTAGTTCGGGAGAACTAACAGACACTCCTAGGAGGAGCCTTAAGCTCTCACTATCTGAAGAAGAGAGGCACATAATGGTTCTGTTACCTTCTTCTCTCTGTCTGGTAGTGAGAGCCTGTAGTGGTTATGGTTTCTAGAGGTTTTTTTTAAATGCTTTCTCCCAAGGCACAGCAAAGCGGTCTGTTGAAATCTGATAATTCTGTACGTGGCTCATGAACATGAATACATGTAATGGGACTCAGGCGGTCTGCCTTGTAGCTGCCGATGTAGAAGGAGTGGACTGTTTGTCTAATGTGAGCTCTCCAGTATTGGCTTGAGGACACAGGTATCTAATACCATGTCATGGTACATTGAAATGTGCCCTTATATCATATGTTGTTCCCCTGTGAAAGGACATCAATGCCCCAACCATACAGACATCCTGTGCCGACTTTATATCCCCCCGCAACAATTTTGCAACCAGATTAAAGACAATGGTATTGATATAAATGAAAGTTTTATAATGAGTGATATAATTAAGGTGTGCAATGGATGGAATGGTAGAACTTACCTGGGTGCCCTTACCTACCTTCACGCATGGATTTCTACCTCTCTCTGGTAGTTTGTACATACTAAAGCTCTAATATGTATCCTCATAGTATTGAATGACCTATGAAACCAATTGCTGTCCTATGATACAAAAGTGTTGAAACCTTCATAAGCATGCAGCAGCATGACACCGTCCATTAAAAAACATTCCAAGCACCATAACCACTACAGTGCCCTGACTCCCTCCCAGATTCAGCAATGAAACTTTTTAAGAATGGTACCTGGGTGGGTCCCATCAGGCGACTGCCCCTACCTTCTCTGCAGTCAGAAGCTCCTGCACTGAGCTAAGACCGGCTCATTGGCTCTGGAGGTCCATCATTTGAAGGAACACTCAAAGCTCTCAGGGGATTATGGGAGATGTAGTAAAGTAATGGAGAAGAGCAAAGTCTGACATCTCTGTTTCTTCTAAGTTACTGTTAGCATCCTACATATGTTCCTGCCTGGCTACTCCAGGGTCAGTCACTCCTAAATTCTCATAATTCTATATTGTCATGTTGAAAGAATGAATGTACTGATGACAGCTCTGGTGGCTGTAAGGTTCCAAATGCCTTTCACTGTAGTGGTTTGATGTTACCCAGCCTCATTTTGTGGTGTAACTACTCCTGCTACTTCCGCAAACACCGAGAAGCTGATAGGGCACTGGTTTTTTTTGCCAAACTGAAGGACAGCCACTTCTTTTTCTCCGAAATAAGTGAGTGGGCACGGGCAATTGACAACCCACTCACAGCTTAAACCCAGAGGAGGAACAAAACTTTTCCACTCATCCAGTCTGAATCAGGGCTGTGACATTAAAAACCAAACACTACCAGCCAGGCCTTAAAGGGACACTCCACTCCCCAAATAAAAAAAATAAAAAATAAAGAAATCACTCTTTAGTAGATACACCCCAATTAATACACGCATGCATTTTAATGCATGTATTTATTGGATGTAAATCTTACAACTGCAGTTCTTATGAAGTGCAGCCTTTGCAAACCCTCCCTTTTTTCTCATTGAGGGCTCCCACCGTGAACGCGCGAGCAGCATGCTGACCTGACGTCTGGGCGCTGGTCTGAGGTATGCAGGGAGGGGGAGAGAAGGGCGCACTCACATAGAGCAAGCCTGCTACTTGTGATAGTTCAGGGGAGCTAGTGAAAGCAGGAAGAGACCCCACCTAGCTGTTTGATTGACAGTCGGTGGTTGTTTCATTAATTATTTATAAATGTGACAATTTCTAATACAAATCCGCACTTTTATAACCTGTCATTAATGGGATAAAATGTATTATGGGATACTCCTCACCCATACAGCACTTCAGCAATCAGACGTGCTTTATGGGCGTGGAGGGCTCTTTTAAATGTTACTCAACAGCCCACGGCCTACTCACCAGAAGTGAATTTCTACTCACCAAGGCTAGATTTTTACTTGCCAATGACTAGTGGCGAGTGGACAGCTTGAGCCCTGGTGTGAATAACCGTCCTTCAGTGTGGGAAAACAAACAGCGCCCTATCAGCTTCTTCCAACTGTGTCTGCGAAGGTAAGAGGTGTATCCGCAGCGCAAGGTTCAGCCAGGTAGGACGAAACCAAACAACTATAAGGAAAGGTATTTAAACAAAGTGGCAGGGGAGCGAGGCAAAAGGAATAATTTGATTTTATAAAAAGTGGATTTTTCAAAAATTAAAAGTGATTGGTAACCTTCTCACCTGTTCCACTTTTTCATTTTTTTGTAAAAATCCCCTTTTTTCAAATTAAACTACACCTGCTACTGCAAGGGCATTGTTTGTTTCGCTATCTGAAGGACGGTCACAGGCACTAAAGACTGGATGTGTAGAAAAGCTTTGTTCTTCTCAGGGTGGAAGGGGTGAGTGGGTCATCAATTGCCCAACAACTTTATCTTTTTTTTTTTTTTTTTTTAAATTTCCCTTTTTTTAATTACATTTTACTCCTGCTACAGCTGCTCCTGTCCTTATTTATTAATACAAAATTGTAAAAGGAAAAACAATTAATCATTATAACACTTAATTCCCTCACTTACTTTAGTACTTATTTACTTAAGGGAGAATTTAAAGTAATTTTCAAATTTAAAGCCAGAGTTACTGACTGGAAAAGTTAGCTCACCTAAAGAATTTTTCCAATTCGGCTATTTGAACCCTAAATTAGAATTTAACTTTGAATTCACTTTGACATGCCACTTTAGTGAATTACCTCGATAATGTATATATTAAAAAAAATAGAGATAAAAATATAATTCTGACAATTGAAGATTATGCTAGCGTTAGTGTACTTATAATCTTAATTTTAGTAATGACAGGAGGCGAGTATTTTGCATATAACTCTCTTTACTAACTCCACATAGCAGTAAAGAAAAAGTGAAAACGATAACCAATCAAAATGCAATATGCTGTATAGTATTCACAGTGATGAGGCTCCTCCCCCTCTTTCGGAAGCGACATCAGGCAAAACTCAAGAAACAATAACGTCCAAACATGTATAACGTGCACCAACGTGTGATTCCCCTCGACAAAACAGACTTTCACGGGGTGCGAACTGATTCAGAGTGTCCTGCAACGTGCAGCGGTTGATGTGTCCCATTAACGAGGCTCCAGGAGCTGAAGGATGATTCAACTGTGTCCACTCTGAGAAGGATCTGTGAACATCGTGGATTTAAACTGAAATGAGAACGTGAAACGGATTAGGCACTGATCTTTCAACTGGTTGCAGTATCGACCCCACATAATAAAGCAATATGAGACCCCCTGGATAAAAGGTTAATGCATAATAACCTGAACATAACAGATCCCAAACCAAGAGGAGACGAAGGTATAGGTACCGGATAAGACAACGGGATATAGAAATATACTTACGTGCATCCACTCTTCCCAAGGGAGGGAAAGGGTGGGAAAATACTCGCCTCCTGTCATTACTAAAATTAAGATTATAAGTACACTAACGCTAGCATAATCTTCAATTTTACCACATGACAGGAGGCTTCCTATTTTGCATTTTTAACGCTGATGTAGAAGAGACATAGCCGCACCTGAACTCGGGCGAAAGTAGAATGTCCGAAAGGTAGATTCCCTCGACCAGTCAGCTGACCGAAGGATATCCGCCAGGGACGCGCCTGCCGAGAAAGCCGAGGAGGCCGCCGCCCCGCGCACTGAGTGTGCACCGAAATTAGCATCCACACCCGCCAGAGATAGGATCCATCGTACCCATCTGGCGAGTGTGGTAGTCGAAACGGGAACGTGTGGCCTGACATAGGATACTAATAACTGTCCCGAGGCAGAGGCCCGAAGCAAGGCAGTGGTCTCCACGTACTGATGCAGGGTAGAGACGACGCATAGCTGCGGTTCAGTAGCGAAGAAGGGATAAAAGACCGACGTAGAGTCCGATTTGGTACGTCGTGATACGCGGAAGGTAACTCCCTCAGGGGAAACCGAAAAGGCATTGATGTCGAAAGCCCGCACGTCCGAAACCCGACGGAAGGAAACGAGGCAAAGTAAGAGGGTCAGTTTGGCCGAGAGTTGTCTGAGAGACAGTCTGTCATTAGTCGGCCAATCTCTCAGAAACCGTAGGACCACCTCCACGTCCCACATGTGGGAGTACTTAGGTCCTGGTGGTCTCTGTAATCGGATACCCCTCAGGAGACGGCATACCAGAGGGTCCTTCCCAACGGGAATACCTAAGTTCGGGACGTGAGCCGCCGAAATCGCCGAGCGCACGACGTTAAGCGAGCGGTAGGAGCGACCCGTAGAGAAAAGGTGTGAAAGAAAATTCAGAATAGCTGTTACAGGTGCCGTAAATGGATCGAAGTTCCGTTCACTGCACCAAGAGGACCAGGAACTCCAAGCTGATAGATAGCATCGTCTGGTCCCAGGTGCCCAGGAATCCCATATGAGGTCTCTAGCCGTTTGCGATAAATCGCAGGTTTGCCAGGCTCCCCTGAAAGCGTCCAAGCCACCAGGGTGAGGCGATCTTCGAGGATGAGAGGATGGGGGTTCCCCTTTGGATCCGTGAGGAGCATCGGATAGGATGGTATGAGAAGTGGATCGGCGTAGGACAGTGCCAGGAGGTCCGGAAACCATGGTTGGCCCCGCCATAGGGGGGCGATGAGGACTAGAGATCCGTGTTGATTCTTCAGGTATTGAATCGTCCTCGCTATCATGGCGAACGGGGGAAAGGCGTATGCTCCCTCGGTTGGCCATGATTGGAGAAATGCGTCCACCGCCGCGCTCTCCGGGTCCGGAAGCCAACTGAAGTAGTTGAGTGTCTGTCTGTTGTTGCGAGATGCAAACAGATCCAGTTGGAGGGGACCTCTCCTGCTCGAGAGGCGTTGGAAGACCTGAGGATCCAGTCTCCAGTCGCTGCTGTCCCGCCAATGGCGTGAAAACCAATCTGCTGTCAGATTTGTCTCCCCCGGAAGGTATTCCGCCTTGAGGGAGATGTTGCGGGGCAAGCAGAAGTTGAAAATCTCCTTCGTTATTTCGGATAACAGTCGGGACCGAGCTCCGCCCAGGCGGTTGATGTATCGAACCGCGGAGACGTTGTCCATCCGGAGGAGGATGCAACAGTTCGATCTGTCCTTTGCTAAGCTGCGAATCGCGAATGAGCCTGCTAGGAGTTCTAGGCAGTTTATGTGTAGGTCGATTTCCTGAGAAGTCCAGGCGCCTCCTGTCGACTTGCCTTCGCCCGTCGTGCCCCAGCCCCAAAGGCTGGCGTCCGATTCCAGAACTATGTCGGGCGAACTCCCGAAGATGGCTCGGCCGTTCCATGCCTCCATGCTGTCTAGCCACCATCTGAATTCCTCCTTTACCTCCTCCGTAATCGGGATAGTTTGGTCGTAAGACGGGTTCCGGTGCAGGAAGGAGGTCTTCAGGCGTTGCATTGCTCTGTAGTGCAGGGGTCCCGGGAATATGGCCTGTATGGACGCGGATAGTAGTCCCACAATCCGGGCCAGATTGCGGAGCGGAATGGATTGGCAGCGAATGACTCTGCGTAATTCTTTTTTGATGGCCGCGATCTTTGTCGTCGGCAGGCGTAACGTGCTGGACTTGGAGTCTATTTCGAAGCCCAAAAACTGCACCGTCTGAGCTGGAGACATTTCTGACTTCAGGAAATTGACCACGAAGCCCAGTGATGTCAGGAAGTCTACAGTAAATTGTGTGTGTTGAGTCAGTCTGGACTTGTCTGAGCAGAACAGAAGCAGGTCGTCCAGGTAAATAATGCAACGAATCCCTCGTGCTCGAAGATGTGCGACTACTGGCTTCATTAATTTGGTGAAGCACCACGGGGCTGAACTGAGTCCAAAGGGAAGGCACGTGAATTGCCAAGGCCGGTCTTGCCACTGAAATCTGAGGAATCGGCGGTAGTCGATGTGGACGGGTACCGAGAGGTACGCGTCCTTGAGGTCCAGTCTCGTGAACCAGTCCCCGTCTTGGAGGAGGTCCCTCAGAAGATGTATGCCCTCCATCTTGAAGTGCCTGTATACGACGAATGCGTTGAGGCCTTTCAGGTTTATGACCGGACGGAATTCCCCGGTCTTCTTCTTTACCAGAAAGATGTTGCTGAAAAATCCCCCCTGATCGTGAGCGGGTTCTATCGCCCCTTTCGATTGGAGTTCCTCCAACTCGATTTGTATGAGTCGATGGTCTTCCGTGGAACATGTCCCGGGGTAAGGAGGTACCGTTTGGTTCGGGTGGCCCACGAAGTCTATGACGTAGCCCTGTACGGTCTGCAGGATCCATGCGTCCGTCGAAATGGTTGTCCAATTCTGAAAATAGAGAGCAATACGACCTGCCGTTTGTGAAGTAAGGGGTACGTGAGTCACATATCGGCTTACCTGTGGGGGTGAAGCGTGCTCTGCCACGGCCCCTTGATCCACGACCTCGGTCGGCTCTCCTGGTGTAGGAGAAAGGCTGTCTGTAGCCAACTTCCGGGTAGAATGGTTGAGGTCTTTGTGAGCGGGGGCCTGAAGGCCAAAAGCGGCTGGCTGCACGGCCCCTGTAGCGGCCAGCCCGTCCAAAAACGCCCCGGTTAGGGTTATTCCTGAAGACCCGCTTCATGGTGGTCTGAGCTTTGTTAAGCGACGTGAACACGTTCACGTGTCTGTTCAGGTCCTTCAGGAAAGCGTCCCCGAACAGCTTGCCCTGTGCCAGTGGTCCTAATTCTCTGGTGCCCAAATCCACCAGCTTTCCGTCTAAGCGGAGTAATGCTGCTTTCCTCCTCTCAGAGGAGAGGGCCACGTTGGCATTGCCAACAAAACAAAAACAGCGTTGTGCCCATTCTCTTATGTCGTGAGCCCATTCACGTACCATGTTGGTATCAAACTGTTCAGCTCGGGTGAGGGCGTCATCCGCCAAGTACATGATGCGGGAGAGGGGGCCGATCGCATCCAGCAACATGTCTTGTACGCTATGGAAACCCTTCTCCACCCCTTTACGGGGATCCCGACCACCCCGAGACATAAAGGTGGTCATGACCTGGTCGAATTCCGGGGTCTGAGCCACTTGATCTGGTAGTGAGGGGCGAGGACATTCGGAACACAAGCGGTTGCGGACCGTCTTATCCAATGGTTTGCGTAGCCACTTGTGCATGAACTTCGCCAGGTGTTCGGGGGGTGTCCAGTCCCCCGAACGCGGGTGTCGAATGTTCCGTGGGTCGAATAATCGCTGGCCCGAGGGGTCCAAGATGGTTTCGCCTTCGTCCTGCGTTTGTGCCGGGTCGTCCGGCAGTTGAATGTTGTCTAGGAAGGTGCCCTGTAGGAAACCAGGGCGTGACTCATCCTCCGAGTCCCAGGCGTTTCCCTCTTGGGAATCGGAATCCATGGCCTGCCATGAGTCCAAAATCGCCATGGGTGGCGAGTGTCTCCCCTCCTCGTCTGAGGAGTAATTGCGTCCTGGGGAAGGGACAGCCGGAGCTGGCTTACGCCTTTTTATAGGGGTCTTGCCCTTGTCGGGGTTGGCGTTCCCCTTTTCGCCCTTCCAGTGGCGTTTAGAGGGCCGAGTATCGGCTTGTGTGTGTGATTCCGAAGCCTCGGAATCGTAGTCCTGTTGCTGGACCTTAGCAGGGATTTTCTGTTCGGCAGAGGCCGTCAGAACCCTGGAGAGTGCCTTCTCCATCGAGGCCGCTATAGCCTCACTGATCATATTTTGAAATTCAGCAGTGTTTTGAGAAGAATCCATGGTGAAAATATTGACCACAAAAATTTGTACTTGGCACAGGGCGCAGATAGGGTCAGGGGTCAGTCTGTATTAGTAATGGTACCAGCAGTACCAGTTCAACCCCAGCAGGGTGAATAGTAATTACGTGCAGTGGTACCGGCAGTACCAAAACCCCCAGCAGGGTGTAATAATAAAAGACTCAGGTAAATGCACGTGGTACCAGCAGTACCTGTAACCCCAGCAGGGTATTATTGGGTTTTTTCACTGGGCCGCACCCAGGTATATGGAGGATGTATAGTCACACCTCATAAGCAGCATAAGTATTAGGGGCCGCACCCCAAGAGCACAGGGTATTGCAACCCTATTGTGCTTTAGTACACAGACTGTATTAACTGACCTTGTGACCCTTGCCTTCAACACACTTGCTAGAAGATTGTCTGGGACGTGTTTGAGGGTGACCGGGTGTAAGTAGGAGCCAGGCACTGTCTGCAAGTGGCTCGGTGGGGCTTAAAATGGCAGCCGTGGATCTTGCGAGATGCGAGATCCAAGATGGCCGCCGCCGGCGCCGGGAGCGAAAATCCCGTGAGCGCCGGTCGGGATGCGCGCGGTCGAGAGACCGCGGGGTGAGGGTGGATGAAAGGGGTGAGCGTTACCCCAAAGGTGTCCTGGAATGAGCAATCCGCCGTTTGGGCGGCGGATAGCTCGAGAAAACGGTCGCCAAGCCGGCGGAGGAAAGAACCCAGAAAAGGGCCCCACAGATAAGGGGAGACAGAGAATACAGGGACAGGAGTCCCTGTGGGAAGAGATAAAGAGCAGAATATAGGGTAGGATGCAATAGTCATATAAATAACATAAAAGTTAAAGTTAAAGGTACAATATATTTAGTCAAACAAACAGTAATGAAGAGGAAGAGCTGAAACTCTGACCTGTCTGCTGATGGAGCAGTAAAGAAAGAGGGGGAGGAGCCTCATCACTGTGAATACTATACAGCATATTGCATTTTGATTGGTTATCGTTTTCACTTTTTCTTTACTGCTATGTGGAGTTAGTAAAGAGAGTTATATGCAAAATAGGAAGCCTCCTGTCATGTGGTAAAATTTGACAGCTCAGAATTTGCATTGTAAAAATGTCCGATATTGCATAGCATTTAGGCTGTGCAATATTGTAGCTGTTTTTTGCATTGCAGGACACTAATAGGCATCTTTTAAACCTCCTCTTGGCTTTTCCAAATATTTCTTTAATTTTTTCTGTGGACGATATTCCGACGAGCCAAACTACCATAGAAACACGTATCGGACTGCCTGAACACATTTTCCTTTTCTGATGAAGTGGTTCAGCCAAACCAAATTTTCCCCATGCAGAAGACTAATATTACTTTGTCTTTCTTATAAACAAAACTTTTAATATACTCCAAAGAAGATGAAAAAATTTTCACCTCACTTAATTAGTCCCTGTTTTATGAGAAAATATAAGAAGATAAACTTGTCAAGTTAATATTTAATTGGGGTTCTCAGTTTCACTAGTTCTGTTTTGGAGAGAACTTTGTGTAAGAATCTTATTATTAAGACCATAATTATGCTATCGAGAATATAACAGGCTATATTTCTAGGGATCTTTTTAATCTTACATTCTATCGTCAAATGGAATTTCAAAACGCGGTTGTACGGTCGATTAGGGTGCATCTCCGCTGGTTGAAAAGATCATTTAAATGACATTTGGAAAGTTAAACTTCGTTTAAGTTCGTTTTATTACGTTACAGTTAAATTTTTTTCAGAGTGTAATTATTTTGTTGGTAAAGAAATCTTGAAATGTGTAACTATATATTTCATTCAAAATGCGGTCCCCACAAAGTGTTGTAGGAACCACAACCCACCATAATACTCAGAAAAAATCAGGGGATTATGGGAGATGTAGTAAAGTAATGGAGAAGAGCAAAGTCTGACATCTCTGTTTCTTGTAAGTTACGGTTAGCATCCTACATACGTTCCTGCCTGGGTACTCCAGGGTCAGTCACTCCTAAATTCTCATAATTCTATATTGTCATGTTGAAAGAATGAATTGAGGAAAGCCGGGGGGTGGGGGGAATACAATACCATGTTGTTAACAGTTTTGTTATTTGCAAATTAAATGGCTTTTACAAGCATTACTGTGAGATTTAGCAAACCTGACTCATGTATATCTGTATGATTCGCACATTCTAAAAGTCAGCAGTCAGCGAGACACAACTGCTTAAGTTTTCTTCACAGTTTGCTAACAACACAACTGACTCAGCCAAAACAATCATATCCTGTGGGCTTATATTACTATGGAACATATGTAGTGAAGGTAGAAATGTGTCATTTTAACATGTGCAACATGTCTGGAAAAAAATGTGAACTATGGAAGCCATTTATTTTTAGAAAAGAGCGCGTGTCCTTAAACAAGGGGAAACTAAGCCAACGTCTTTATATTGTTCTGAATGTTTATTTAATAGGCGTGAATTTTAATGTGATGGGTAGCACCTATCCAGAGGTAGCATTAATCACAATTGACATCTAAAACTAAAAATGGAGAGAAACGTAAAAAAAACTAAATTATTTTGTAAATTCAGTGGTTCTATGCAGTAGTGGCTGGTGAAGTTTTAAGATGGTGGGGTGCTAGGCTCCACCCCCAGGACTTTACTCCTCCCTATACAGTACAGAGATACTCCTACAATACAGAGAGATGAGCATAATAAAACATAATTATATAGTTAGATGGGCTGGGCACAACATAAAGATATATATATACAGTACAATGCAGAGATAACCATACCACAAACAGAGCTGAAAACAATAGACACAATACACAGAGCTGGGCACAACACAAAGATACCTATTAAACACACAGGGCTGATAGACTACACATATACCCATATAGCAGGTAGAGCTGAGTCAAACACAGAGATAACATACAGAGCTGGGCACAATATGGAGAAACTCATAACTATCTCACAAATGGGGTTCCGCTAAAAATTTCGGGAAACAAAATGGCTGCCGCGATAACTGAGTCGGGCAGCGAGAGAGCTGAGCAGGGGAGAGTGCTCCCTCGCCGCCCACCTCAATTATTGGCATGCCAGCTGCTCAGCTCAGCAGCTCCACTGGACCCCAGGGACTGCACGCTAGCTGCTTAGCCCAGCAGCCCCACTGGACCCCAGGGACATAGAGACTCCATGCCAGCACTCTTAAAGGTAGGGAGGCTGGGTGGGGTGAAATTTAAAAAAATAAATAAATTGTGTGTGTGTCTGTCAAGGAGTTTGTATGTGTGTTTGTGAGTGAGTGTGTTTGTCACTGAGAGTGCATGTGTGTTTGTCAGTGAGTGTGTGTGTGTGTGTGTGTGTGTGTGTGTGTGTTTGTCAGTGTGAGTGTATGTATGCGTGCTTGTCAGTGAGTGTGTATGTGTTTGTCAGTGAGAATGTATGTGTGCTTGTCAGTGAGAGTGTATATGTGTTTGTATGTGTGTCTGTCAAAGAGTATGTGTGTGTTTGTCAGTGAGAGTGTATGTGTGTCCGTCAAAGAGTATGTGTGTCTGAGTGTGTCAGTCTGTTTATCTATGGGTTACAAGTGTGTGTATGTGGCACTGTGTGTATCTGAGTGTGTGTGTATTTGTGAGCCAAGATGTCTGTGTGTGTCACTGTGTGCATCTGAGTTTGTGTATCTGTGTGTCAATGTGTGTGCCTGTATGTCAGTGTGTGTATATCTGTGTGTCACACACACACACACACTGACACACAGCTACACACACTGGCATATACAAACACAGATACACACACCGTGAAACACACCAGCACATACAAACACAGATACACACACCTTGACACACACCGGCACATACAAACACAGATACACACACTTTTACACATAGATATACACACCTTGACACACAGATACACACTGTGTGTCAAGGTGTGTGTATCTGTGTGTCAGTGTGTGTATCTGTGTGCTACTATGTGCCAGTGTGTGTGTATCCGTGTGTCAGATTCATACACACTGACAAACATATGCACAAACTGGTACATGCAAACACAGATACACACCGGCACATACAAACACAGATACACACACTTTGACACACAGATACATACACACACACACACAGATACACACTGTATGTCAATATATGCTAACATTCATGATGTGTTTTTATTGTTTGTACTTTACTTGTTTTTACCTGTGACTTGGAATTGTGAGGTTTTATAACAATTTGTGCACAAATCACCTTGATCTGTTTTATTTTTCTAAATGAAGTTGTTATGGTGCCAGGAGGCCCTTGGATGCACTCTTACCTCAAGGGGTTACACTGTTCTTGAACCCAGAGTTGCCTCCAGCAGCGATGTCCACTCTCCCTGAAACGTTCTAACTGTACTGTATGTATGCGCCACTTGAGACAAAGGTTAAGAAAAACGTATGTTATACTTACTGTTATAGTAAGTAATGAACCATTTTTCTTTTTCGTTGGCCGAGTATGGCAGCTTAATGCTTTCCTAATGTTTCATTAGTATTAAAAATGTTTCTCATTATATGATGAATAATATGAAGCAGTAACTTACTAAACAAAAAGTAAGTCAGTTGCAAAATTCTTTAGCTTCTTTTTATTTCCTACTCGGATACTTTTGTGTAAAATTTGAAATCAACTGATTTCTCCACAATTTTCATTTTAGTAAATACTTCTAATGGTTGCACTGTTTTAAAGAAAGATTATTTGCTCATTATCAAGCTAAAATGTCTCATATTACCAAAAACAAAATAAATATTTCTCCGATACATTCCACCACATTCAACCAAACTCCAAAGGACTATAGAACTCCATTTTTAAGTCAGGTTGCAAGAAAATTTACATAATGATGCATAAAGGTTGTTGGCGTCCTGTGAAGCGGGATGCTAGTGGTAGAGGTAAAAGTGGTCAGGCCAGTGATATGATTTGCTGCACCGGGTCCACCCAAAGGGGGCACATGAGGTATTTGGGAAGGTGGCGGGTCTGCCTGTAGAATTTACAGGTCAGCCTGGTATGAATGCACTCCAATTAAGTAGGTCGTTTCCCCAAGGGCAGACCATGCAGGCAACACTGCTCATCTCTCTCTGCGGAGTCAAACTGTCCTGAACATAGCATGACAGTGTGTTTAATTATGTGCATGCGCTATGCTTGTTGGAAAAAGTTCCCTCGATTCCCCAAAAGCAGGAGACCAGAGAATAACGTTGGGATGCAAAAAACAGGACTGTCCCACTGAAATCAAGATAGTTGGTAGGCTTTAATGAATAGTAAAAACAAAGATATTTCAGTTGATATATACATTTTGCAAAAACTTACTTGTTTTGAAAGCAGAGCTGCACAATCTCCAAATTATTACATTTTGTACATAAAACCCTACATGCATTGCTTAGAGACATTGTTTAATAACAATACTAAATATATTTTACTTATTAATAACACTGCATGGATGAGATAGCATTCTAGGAGCAATTACCATTTTCTTTGGGTCATGACCACATTCCAATATTGTAAAAAGGTCAAAAGTTTAAATGGTATCCTTTGTGCTAGACGTGGTGTTTTACAAAATACAGAACAAAAGTGAACCTTACACTTAGAGGTAAGAAAAATAATCTTTCGCAGGTCAGTTTGTTCTCACCCAGAATTTTTAGAACTGTGTTTACCAGCCATTAAATTGACTAGTTTATCCTTGAAAATTTATGGTGCGTTCTCTTACATTTAAAAATACTCGTTTGTCGAAAATAGCCAGTTGTTTTTCTGACGGATTTAACTTTATCAGTACCTGCAGTTGTTACTAAAGGAAATTCGTTCATTTTTTCAGCATGTGAACATAGGAGTGCAAAAAAAAAGGAACACAAGTGAAAATAATTCTCTGAGTGCATGTAAATGTTGTCAAACATACTGACATTTCCATTTAATGTGGTAGACCACAAAGGATCTGAGAAGCTATCTCATTGGTCCATACCATCCTCTGTTGAATTTACAACACATTCTTGTGACAGTCTGCAACTGCAAAGAAATAATAATAATCGAAATAGTTGAAATGCAGCCAGCACGTGTACGATTTACTACAAAAAATACATGAAACTCCCGCAAGAACTTCAGAGGCAGTGCATAGGGAGGAAATTTGACCACTATAGTTGAAACTTTTTTGTAAGTCTATGAAGATCCGCTACACCAGTGGTTTCCAAACCAGTCCTCAAGGCACGTCTACCAGTCCAGAATTTAGGGATTGCCCAGTTGTGTTAAGATGTTTTTTTTTTCTTTCTTTCTAAAAACACCTTAGACACAATTGGGTAATCCCTAAATCCTGGACTGGTAGGTGTGCCTTGAGGACTGGTCGGAAACTACTGCTCTACACCTTGGATGACTAAGCAGTGGTATCATCGATGATTGCCTGTAGTGTTCTGCATTCGAAATTCCTTGATTACCAGTATTTTAACTTGTAAAATAAAGATATACATTTGCCAAGAGACTCGTCTACTTCTTCCTAGTATTTTCCAGCAATTCCAAAGCTTTACTATAAATATTCATCACTATTCTAATACATGACTTCACAGTTTAAACTAAGCATGAATGGAGTTATATAAACATTTGTAGCCCCCTTGAATTTAGACCATTCAATTTTGCTGCTTTTGCACCACCTTCTGAAGAACATGAAGTGATACCGTTGTTTGGTGTTTCACTGTGGACCCTGGACCAGTTGTCTTCAATCCAGGATTTAAAGAACACTAAACAAAGGCATTTCCCAACTCTGTTACTATGTACTATGGGAAAGTCACAAAACATGGACTGTGTTATGCCTCCTGGACAGGAATGGAAACCATTGCCATAGGTCAGGAGTAGGCCTTCAGCACTCCAGATGTTGTGGATTACATCCCCCATAATGTTCGTATAGCCATAATGCAGGCAAAGTATCAGCAAAAGTGTAGTCCACAACATCAGGAGTTCAGAAGATTGCCTACCTGTGCCCTAGACTATATCCTTTTTAGAGATCAAACTATCGTGCCTCCATTTCATCTACGAAAACTGCCTGTGAACTTCATGTTGTAATTTATGTAGAATAAAATAAAATCCCATAATTCCATCAGACCCTGGAAGATACCAGCATCAACGAAACAAAAGAATCAATAGTTGGGATTGTTATGAAAAACCTATTAAGCATAAAACCAACTGCATGTCAGTAAAGGAAAAATACAACAGAAGATAATAAAATAAATGTGCACAGTTCATCCTTCAGGAATCTGCTCTCAAATCATGTCAACATATGGAATCTGATGAGACGATTTATACCATACATGGTAGAGAATTAAGGTGACATCATTTCCTAAAAGTTGTTCCATGTACTTAATTCAGTTTTTTCTGTTTCATTAAGTTATTAAAATATAAATAGAAGAAGATTTTTCATTGGGCGAAGCAGACAATGTAGATTTCGCAAAAAGTATCCTAAACACATGATACAAAAATAAAAATACTTATTTTATATTTCTGCTTATTTACGAATGTGCTCAATAGAAAGATTGTGGCACATATAGATAATCAGTCTTAAAAACTTTAGATAATATAAAGATTATTATTAATCACAAATCACTAGCATATTCAAGAATGGTGTAAAATTATGCCAAATCTTAATAATAGAGGACGTAGATGGGACCAGAGATAAATGAGCTACTAATCTGAAATGTATTCAATTTATTACTCTGAATGATCTCCAAATTAAAAATCTTATTTGTGACAAGCACATTTGCAAGCTTTCACCATTAGATGGCAGCATTATTATTATTGTATTTATGAAGCATCAACGTGTTCATTAGGGCTGTACAATGGTTGTCTATTTTACAGGGTAATTTTGACATGTAAATCCGGACAAACACATTTAGCCATGTGAGAAAGGTCTGGTAAAAAGCATGAGACTTGTTGGGAATGCAAAGAGAATTCAAACTTAATTTAAAATTTAAGGCCAAATTACCCTGAAATAGTCAGCTTTGATTCTAGTTCAGCTATTTTTGTCTTAAATTTGAAAGTCACTTTGAATTCCTGACTATTCTTACTATAGTACCTAGCCCTACAAAATAAGTGTTTTAGTAAACTGAGAGCCAACTAGTAAAATTCACAGGGTTTTTCACTACAGTGAGAATCCAAAGTAAATTCAAAGTGAATTTTGAATTTAAAGTTAAAGGGTCACCCCAGACTCCTAAAGCACTATAGCTTGCTGAAAAACTTAATAGACATTGACACTTTTATAAATTAACCTGGTTACACACCCTTTGCGTTTCAATCAGACAAAAGTTAATGTTACTTCCTGGTATAGTTAGCTCTGTGGAGCTAAACTAAAGAGGCAGATATTGCCTAGAGCACCTACCTCTCGAGCTGCATTGGGAAGTCTGTGATTGGACAGTCACAGAAAGTCGTGGCAGGGTTAGAGGGGAGGGCTTATAAAAGCCACATACAAGAGAGCTACATTTTTTGCAAGCTGTTTTTAGATATAAGTCCAATGAAAAAAAAATGCATAATTCAATGCATGCAATTTTTTATTTGGGGTAAATCTATTAAACAGTGATTTTTTTTTTTTAATTTGGCCAGTATGTCCAGTGTCTCTTTAAAATAATCAGTTCTGATTTTCATTTGGCTCCTCTTGCCTTAACCCCTTAAGGACACATGACATGTGTGACATGTCATGATTCCCTTTTATTCCAGAAGTTTGGTCCTTAAGGGGTTAAATTCAAAATTCACCTTGAATTCACCTTCAATTCCCACTTTAGTATATAATAACACTATAAAATAGACAAAATGCTTTGGCTTATATTTTTGCACTGTTTAGTGAATAAACCTGAGTTTAAAAAAAAATCTGTCTACGACTATCTACACAGTTCATATTGAACCCATGCAAGGAAATTATATGCATGTATGAAAAGAAAAACAATCATTTAAAAATGGCAAATAGGATTCTGCAGTGATAGATTTGAAATACAAATCGGAATTGTTTTGTTACACAAGAAAGACTGTGTAAGAGGTTTGTTACATTCCTTCCATAAAACTTCTGGTAATGCTGAGAGCTCTATTTATTTTTACAGGGCTACTGAAAGGGTTCTACGGAACATTTACACAAGGCTGCAGTTTCATTTTTTTAAATAGAGGAAAGTAATTCAATCCATCAAATTTGGTTAACAAGGTAGACTTATGCAGAAAAAAAAACGACATTGCTCAATTCATAAATATATATATATATTTTTTTTTTTGTTGCACGTATGTTTATTTTAGAGTTGAGATTTAACTTATTCTGTGCCAGGTGTGCAAGCAACAAATGCTAAGACACAAGCTGGAGTGTGTGGGGACATATTGCTAAATATGAAGCAATTTTGCTGGTGGACGTTATGCAGTGCTCATCCATTGATGTCATGAGTCTAACCTACTGCTATCACTCTTTGATGGGACTCGGTTAGTGCTATCATCCCCTTACAGCAAACAGTTTTATTTTCCCCTTAATGAAAAATATTCAGCGCTATCACACCTTTACATGAATGGTACACAATGATACCTTCCTTCCCTAAATGAGATGTTAGCAGAGGAATTATCCCTTAATGGAACTTACACAGTGTTATCCCTCTGTAATGGGACTTACACTGTGCCCTCACCTCTTAATAAGATTTAAAAAGCATTATCACAACTTAATGGGACTTATGCAATACTATCAGTTCCTTTACGTTACTTATACAGTGATATCACCCCTTAGTGGGCCTTCACAGCAGGAACACACCATTAAGGGACTCACACAGTGCCATTTTTTGGGATGTTTGTGTCTACATGATATCTCTGTAGCAAAGAGGGTGTCTATTAAGTATCCCTTAAATTTAATTCCTGTTCAAAACAGCCTACACGTTAAAATCTGGAAATTGCGATTGTAAGTTTGACTTATCAAGACGTTGTCTTAATAATGCCTAAAGGAATTCTAACTGAAATACAATGTATTACTATATTAATGTGGCTATAACAAGCAGAGGATTCTATAGTAGTGTGGCTATACTAGACGTAAGGCCCAAAGGAACATGAGGAGTGCGTCATGCAAAATCTTCCCCCATCTTCAGCACAACTGAATTTGAAATACGTGCAAATAGTTCTGTCTGGATATAAAACGTTTAACGTGCTTACACAATTTACATTGTTAGCCATTTTAAGAGAGGTGTGCAGCCCACCCATTCACTGCAAATGAGAGGAGAGTAAGATGAAAAAAGGCTCCTTTTAGTGAACAGTGTGAGCTACATCATTTGTACAATTAGATGTGCTAGCCATTACAAACATCAGCACAATTAGATTATTATCAGTTATTTCATAGATGGTTAAGCTAATGACTTGTAAATATTTTTCTCTCTTTAGAAATTCTATGGCGTTTCAAACCACAAATCACTTCCTCCCTTATTCCCACTTATGCCACAGCTATTCAATAAAACGTCCATTGTGTGGCATAATTTAAGAGGGTCGTATTTCAGGCTGGCTGCTTACCGGAACACACTCTTTAATATGCCAATTAAAACCCTTTACCGTTTTATCTGCAGTTTTGTGTTTTGTGTACAAGCACTTATTTGGCATTCCTTAGCCAGCTGAGGGCCAGTGTTATAATGTCCTTGTCACCTCCTTATTACATCATCACAGCTAAAATTAAGTTTGTATCTGTTTTGTTTGTTGAGTGCGTGTCTTCTTCAAGATAGTCTTCATTTAACTGATTTCATACTATGTTTCAACTCAATTGGAGAACATTTACTAAACACTAAATTGTACCAAATTGAAAAACAAGTTTAAAACTTTGACAAAAAGTGCTAGTTTGATAAAATTCACCAAACCAACTATAAACTCAACTTGGCTATTTTAACCTGAATTTTGCAATTTAGTTTTCAGTCCGTTACAGTTCGGTATTAGGTAAAAAAATAAATTTCAAAAAAACATAATCTTGTTACATTTCATTTCACTTTATGTGTTTGGTGGGCTTACATTTTGGTTCAGCAGACAGTGATACTTCTTCAGCAAACACATACAATTACAATTAGTTGTGTAGCTCCAACATATTCCACAGCGCTGTACAATGGGAAGCAAGACAAACATTTAATTCTAAAGAACATTTATGACATTAGTGAGAGCAATGGGGGGTGGATAGTACACCATTGAACAAAATAGTGAAAATCACTCATAATTTCTTAACCTTTTTGATTGTAACTCATTTGGGCAGGGCCCCGCCTGCTGTTGCCTTTTGTCCAACATGTTGTGTTAGAATTTTATTGTTTGTTTTTAGCTGTTAAACAGCACTGTGTAATATATAAAAATAACTGTAACCGTGATGCTCAGTTTTCTATTAAACGTTGTATTAAATATTTAGCCATTAGCATTATAATCCGGTTCAGTCTTGGCCCAGTCAGCGAACACATTGTATTGGCAGTCTCTCTAGGTTGCGATGCTGTGGACATGCCTCACGTGTCTAGAATTACAATACATTTTTTGGACGTTAAATGGTAAATATTACTGATTACTGTTTTAAAGCTCACTCTGAAAAGTTTTAATAGCAGCCATCTAATCCCAAAATGCTTCACAAACATACAGTATATTTTAGTAGAAATTAAGCCCACCTATGATATTTATCTCACAATAATATTAGTGTATATTTTATAAAAAAGATGTTTATATTTATCTGTTTGTTTTTTTTCACACGTTTAATTTTCGTGATGAATCCAACTACTGTGAAGACCTTACGTTTGTATTTGGCTGTCCCCTCCACATATATCAGTACCCCTCAAGCAGAGCTTTGTGAGATTTGCAAAAAATTAGAAGATCAAATTACGACTATGCCAATCTCCATTGTCAGGCTACCAGTTTGTACTGACTGAATCACTGGGTCCATGTAACTTGTAGCACATACTGCACTTTATTCCCTCATGAGAGAACATCAAAAAAAAAATGTCGGCTGTTTAATAAGGAGCATTCTGAGTATTTTTACTTGGCTGTTTCATTACCTATATCTGCCGAATGTAGTAGTAAAATGTGCTTTTTGTTTCACATACATGTATATTAACCCCTTAAGGACACATGACGGAAATATTCCGTCATGATTCCCTTTTATTCCAGAAGTTGTGTTCTTAAGGGGTTGAAAGGGAATTTTAGATTCTGCTATAGCAATTCCCATATGCATACCATTGCCGGATTGGGGTCAAACTACAGATCTGCTCAAGTTTGTCATTATACTCTATCTGCTTCCCAGATACACTATCTAGTGACGTGACACTGTGTCACCATAGTGACCAGCATCAAACGTCAGCATCATTACAAACTAATTAATCTTCTTTCTATTTAACCTTAACTAACCTTAAACTTAACTAACCATAACTAATCATAACCCTAGCAAACCCTATCCTTAGATAACTAGGAAATAATAATAATACTAACCCTAATCCAAGCTATCCCTAAGCAATCCTTACCCTAGTTAACCCTAACTTACTCTAACAAATTATAATCCTAGCTAACCCTAACTAACCCTAATCTGGATAAAACTACCAATGCACTGTTAAGCTATCTGGACTTTAGGTTGAGTGGTACAATAGCGACCAATTACAGTGATTCCATATCTTTAGCTTTTAATTACTGTGTTTGGCTGTAACAGTAAAGCGCTGCGGAATTTGTTGGCGCTATATAAATAATAGCATAATAATAACAGAGATTACTCAACCTGAGAACTAGTTCAGATGTTGTTTTGGTTTATTTGTTTGAATAAATTGACCAGAAATTGCACAGAACTGTAAGGAGAATTAGCAAATTTTTAAAAATAGCTTAGTTTAACCCCTTAATACCGGAGGGTGTACTATTACGCCCTATTCTAAGCAGCTCTAAACGCCGCAGGGCGTAACAGTATGCCCTCACGGTTTTTCTTACTTACCCGGTCCCAGGGAGTCCCCCGCGGCGGATCCTGCCTTCTCTGGCCCCCCCCCCGGCCATGTGAGATGTGAGAGTGAGGTCCTTGCGAGGAGCTGGCTGCTGCATTGTCAGCAGGGAGACTGCCTGTAATGACAGTTAGTCCTCCTGCTGGCTGAATTAAAATAAACAACAGTTAAAATCAGCGTAAAAAATAAATAAATTATGTACTTAGATCATATATATATATATTTTAAAAATCTTTCAACATTGAAGTTGCTGTTTAGTGGATAGGTGAGTGCGCTGGATCTTGTGTATTGTATTATTTGCCCCCCAGCAGCACCCCCATTTATGCATGTTAAGGTGAGTGCAGCCAACCCCCTCTTGTTTTATATATATTTGGGAGTCTAGCCAACTCCTTGGTTTTGCACCCCTCCCTGTCACAGGTGCCTCATCCCAGGGCCCTATTTAGCCTTGTACTGCAGAGAGCCCCAGATGGAATTTCTTTCCCCAAGTAGGTTAATGTCATAAGAGCAGACATTAGGCTGTTAGTGTAGGACCTGCCAAAGATGGGGTACATTGACGTTGTGGCAGGCTTATGCAATGTATGATCATATAATGTAACTAAGCCCCCATTATTTTTGCCTAGATTAGGTGTTTTTAAAAAAACAAATAAAATCTTTCAACATTGAAGTTGCTGTTTAGTGGATAGGTGAGTGCGCTGGCTCTTGTGTATTATATATATATATATATATATTAATTCTACATATATATATAAAAACACTGGCCAAAATTGGCGTTTTTTGCATTTTTCACACACAAACAAATATTAACGCTAACTTTGGCCAGTGTTTGTGACCAAATGGCTACTAAAAAAGACTGGACATACCCCATTTGCAATACCTTGGGTTGTCTACTATTGCAAATGGTATGCCATTATGGGTGTAAATTCCTGGGCTACTATACAGTCTCAAAGGCAACGTAACCAATCTGGCGAATTTCAATTTCAAATGTAATGTGCTATATTTGACCCTGTAACTTCCCAAAACGCCATAAAACCTGTACATAGGGGGTACTGTTTTACACATGTGTATATTATTGCAGTAAAATCAAACAGTATTATGACATTGACAGTTAAAATGTCATGTAGAACTAAAAAAAAATAACAAAATATCTTATTTTTTCCATTTTTTTCATATTAAATTATGTTTCATAGCTAAATATTTGATATTAAATGAAAGCCCTGTTTCCCCCTGAATAAAATGATATATAATAAGTGTGGGTGCATTTAATATGAAAGAGGTGAATTACGGTTGGACAGACATGTAGCGCAAATTTGTTTACGTTTTGTTTTGTTCACAACGTGTATATTTGGCTCAGTCCTTAAGGGGTTAAAAAACAAAATTATATATACCTTGCACTCAGGCTTCAAACTTGCCACACCGGGTGCAATACCAAGGCTTTAAATATCCAAATGGTAAAGTAATATGGCTGCACTCACGGATTTCCAATAAAATATAACTTTTATTCCAGTTCTTTGAAATAGATCGACGTTTCAGTCCATCTTGTGGACTTTCATCAGGATCCTTTGCAGCCATATTACTTTACCATTTATATATATATATATATATATATATATATGTATGTGTGTTTATATATATATATATATATATATATATATATATATACATATATTGCAAGCTAAACAAAATAACTAATGCTCTTCAAAGCAAGGAACTGTTTCTAGGTTGTTATGTAGCAGTGTCTGATCACAAACAGTCACAATGTCTAGACATTGACCAGTAGGAGAAAGAAACATATTGTCTTGCTATCCTTCACGCAATGTCTGTGTATAGTTGTGTCTGGTATTGTTTAATGTTTTCTTTCACTTATTTATCTATTTCATTATCTGTGGATTTCCTATCTCACAACAGCGATTATGCCAAACACCATATTAAATGAATTTTATAACTCCATAGTAATTTCGTAGGACGTGTGTATGGCAGAAGGAAATTTGTCATTAACCTCTTCAGTCCCGAGTTTGTTTGTTTTTGTTGAGTTTAAGGTGAAAATTCAGTTGAGTGATAAGGTTTGTGAAATAATATGTGTGTTGTGTTTTGCAAATTCAGTTTTAAGAAAATATTCTGAAGAAATAGCGCAAAAGGAGAAATGACTTTATAACATGCATCACAGAGAGGCACCAGACTATAAATAAGTTTTAAAAAGAACATATTCAAATGTGCTGTTGCCATTAAAATATGTTTAGAAAGAAGACTATGATCATAGCTTTTTCAAAAAGTTCAGCATTGTATCGGCTGGAGAGAGCAATTATCAAACATTCTGTTTTGTGAAAAATAATGCAAAAAGTGTAAAAGAGGGAAATCACCATGGAAACCAATGGAACCAGCGGGCGCATTTATTTGGGGACCCCTCTTTTTTTCCCATGTTTGCGCTGATTTTCACAACATGACACTTTGATCAATTTCCCCCACTTTTTCCCCCCACAGTTTTTCTCTCTTGCCCAGTACTTCTCCTGGCATACCAGTAAGGAAAGAGGGAAGAATTAATGATGGCAATATATGGGATTGTGACTCCCATCAATCTCGGAAAGTGCAGCACAAGTATGTTCTGGTGTTTAACTGAGAAGGAAGCAACTGAATGAATATTTGTGCCGTTGTGTGAGTCTGTGTTTGCATGTCTATTTTTTTGTGTGTATATGTTTGTGTATGTTTGTGTGTGTATCCGTGTGTTGCACTTTACAGCAGATAAAATGGCAAAGACAATCCTTGGCATTTTTCATATAAATATATCATTTAATATAAATAATTGTGATGTGTGTCTTATTTGAAGTTATTGTTAAAAGTGAGAAATATTATATTTGCACCATATTGAATCTTCCTACTTTATGTACGTAAAAATGCAAAAAAAAAGACTATATTTAGTAAGGTACATTGGAGAATAGGAATGTTTGTACTCTGTGTCAACATATATTTTTGACTGTGAAGATGGTGTTAAATTTAAAGAGATTGTTATTCACATGGACGTGCTCTGTTTTGTTAAACACAAGTGGCGGTTTAAAAATATGTTGCGAGAGCATACAAACCACAGCCAGGGCTGTGACACACTGATAACAGCCCTGCTCAGCTTTTGCACAAGTTCCGTCCTAATTTTAAAAAAAGAGATGGAAAAAAGTTTATGTACTAATGTATTAGTCCCTCTTTCCTGTTCTCATCAGCTCGAGCTGTTACTTCCAGTCACACAGTTTCAGTTACACGTCTATTTTCATTAAGTCATTTTGGACGTTAGAGGCGATGGGGACATGCCTAAATCAGACCTGTCAATCTAAAGCAGTATGATGAAAATTTATAAGAAAAAGGATGATTAACCAGTGGTTACTATAGTATGCTCCCTAGAAGAATGATTTGCTTTAAGGATCTTGTTTTCATTGTTATAACTGATTGAATATTATGATTCGAGATCCCCGATATATAACACCAACAGCTGATACAGGCTGTGAAAGGAGGTGCTGGTGACAACAAGGACTACATCATTATATGGAAATTGTAGATAAACAAAGAATAAGAAATTAGTCAAGTTAAGAGAATACATAAAGCACTAAGCCCTGCAGTTATTATTATTATTATTTTATTTTTTTATATAGTGACATCAGATTCCGTAGCGCAGTACAATAGGTGGACTAACAGACATGTAATTGTAACGAGACAACTGGACGTACAGGAACAGAGGGGTGGAGGGCGCTGCTCAATGAGCTTACATTAAAGAGGGAGTGGGGTATAGTGGCACAAAGGGTAAAAGTAGGGGTACAAAGTAGGTTTTTAGAAAAGTATTCCCTGGGGGCTTAGTAGGTATTTTTGACAGTTGCATTAGAGGAGTCATGGAGGATGGGGGATGAAAACCTGCTAACAGTTTAATTGATATGCTTTCTTGAAAAAGTGTGTTTTCAATGATTTTTTGGAAGGAGTGGAGACTGGGTGAAAGTCTTATGGAGAAGGGAACAGAGTTCCACAGAAAAGGTGCAGCCCTGGAGAAGTCTTGAAGGTGAGCATCAGAGGTGGGGGTCAGCTCAATGGCTAAGTAAGAATCTCATTGGCTCACTCTCAGCCAATGACTTGCACCTCCAGGCTCAGACAGAGAGCTTCTGGGTCTCAGTAGAATGAGGAGGCTGTGAGCGGTGCACAGGTACTTACAATAGAATGGCCGTGTAGTGGCTGTGATGCAAGGGGCATCCTTTTAAATTGGGGATTTTCTTTTTTTGGGGGATCAGTCTCCTCTCATTTTGATGCAATTGCCAGATAGTAAAAAACTGTCAACAGAAACCTAATTAACAGGTATCGAAAATACAAAGGTAATTTCAGCTAAATAATAAAATTACATTTATATGTCACAGTTGCAAAAATATACAATAATTGGTCAGTCTGACTGCCTCTCAGTGGGATGTATAAACATGACATCATGAGATTGAACCAAACACATTGTGGGCACATCGCTCGATGGCCAGATGGCACATCTGAACTGCGTACCTCTTTGTCTTAGTGGAATCATTCAAAGAATCAATGTATGGTTGCCAATGGTATATATATTTATGTTTATTTTTTTATGGCTGTTATTTTAAAATGTATAAATAATGTGTCTTGGGTGTGACTTTAAATACCAAACTCTCATAACTCCCTTGTCAGGCTTTTTTCTGGATTTTAGTCACGCCAACAGGATTAAATGTAAGCGAGTTTTCTAGGTAACCCTTTTTAAATGAATTAGTGGACTATTGGCAGACAGTTCGTGTTCAGATCCCACTTTTTTAAATAATTGTCCCCAGTTTAAGAACCACCTTTCTATATAATTAGTTAATCATTTTTTTTATCATGACTACTTGTAGTTTTTTTTACCTCATATTGTAATCTGATTGAAGATTGTTTGCGGTAGGCCATGAAGATAAGAATTGCAAACACAATCACTGAATACAATCGCGGAACCAATCAGGATGTGGGTACTAGATACATACAAGTCATTTTTAAATTCCATATATCATACATCTCGAGATTTCAAATGGTCAAAGACACAATTTTTATTTAGGAGGTGTGGCAAGAGAAGGGATGCATTCTGGACCAATTAAAATATTTCTTTACCGAGCAGTAGTGGCGTATGTAATTTCTAATCATATCTAAAAACACACCAACATTTTAAGTTCCAAGAAGAAACATATAGGCCACTAAATAGGAATACTTTGGAGGTATGAAATACAACCTACACATAATAAAAGCAGAAATTGATTATTAATCATCTTAAAAACGGGTTCAATAAATGTTTTCTGCACATTCTGTAGTGAGCAGTAGTAGTGATGTCCTGAACGGTTCGCCACGGACTCATCATTGAGTAAACTTTGACCCTGTACCTCACAGTCAGCAGACACATTCCAGCCAATCAGCAGCAGACCCTCCCTCCCAGACCCTCCCACCTCCTGGACAGCATCCATTTTGAAGCTGCATTCTTAGTGAGCTGTCCAGGAGGTGGGAGGGTCTGGGAGGGAGGGTCTGCTGCTGATTGGCTGGAATGTGTCTGCTGACTGTGAGGTACAGGGTCAAAGTTTACTCAATGATGAGTCCGTGGCGAACCTTTCGGCGAACCGTTCGGGACATCACTAATCAGTAGACTTGAACATGGTGAGATTGTTCGATGCGGCCAAATAATTTTTCCTGAAATTCTAATTTTGTTCAGGACATCTGATACTCGTTCATGTGACGGTTTAGCTCAGAAACATTCAGACAAACCAAAAAGGGCACAAAATTGTAAATATAAATAGTATGCATATTTTTTGCGGTACACATTTTCCCACTATTTGGTTCACAGATCAAGTGAGAACCGTACCCCAAGGAGTGAAAAAGAGGAGCAGCAGTAAAAGTATATATTTATATATTACATTATTGTTTTTACTCCTCCTCATTTTTCCCCTTTGTTGGTCATTTCACATTTGATCTGTGAATAAATTTAAAATGTAATAACTGTCCCCTAGCCATCAATTATCTTGTTTTCCCATCAATTAACACTTTTTGACACCACAGGCGGCATTCTGAGTAATTGTGCTAGTTGTTTGCTCAGGTATATATCCATATCGATGCAGAGATACGGAATTCTGCCAAACAGCCATTCAGCTCAAAATAGGTCAAATCTGAATACACAAGTTGACCAGTGTTAATAGGATTTTTAATTTTTTTTTGTCATGTTTGTAAGCAAGAAAAAACATAGAGTGCATTGCTGAAAGATTATATGGTTAATTGTGGAGTGCACTGATGGCTGACATTTGTACGCCAGATGCGTATGAGTTACATTTCCACTGATGCCCAGCCAGACTTAAAATGAAGAGTCACTTTTTGGGTCAGTTTTTGCAAGACCTCTGCCAAGCTATGTTGCTAAATTGCTTTTTGTGTCCTCTTTTTTTCATTTTACAAAAAGTGGTGATTTTGATTGAAATTGGTACTTACATTAATCAATCTGGTTGCACCCCCTGACTGTCAGTCATACAGCAAATCCTACTATTTCCTGGTTGTTTAGCTCAGTGAAGCTAAACTCAAAATGTAGCAATTACCCAGAACATCTGCCTTCCAAATACTGCTCATGAAGCTGCATTGGAAAGTCTGTGATTGGACAAAAGCCTGGGTGAGATTAGGAGGGGAGGGATTGCAAAGGTTGCAGACAAGTGATCTTCAGCTTTTGCAAGCAGTTTTTTAAATGTAATCCCTATTTTAAAAATGCATAATTAAAGTCATGTATATTTTCATTCGGGTTATATCAACTAAATTGTGATATTTGATTTTTACATTTTTTTTTTTATTTGGGCAGTGTAGTGTCTTTTTAATGGAGCATGTGAGATACAGTCAAATCACTAATTTCCTTATTTAACTCGCATCCGAGAAGACAGCGGGGTCTGCAAGACCACAGGACAACTTGCATCTAAACTTTATCCAAAACTAGTTGCCCTGTACAGAAACAAATCCTGCCTAGGCCCTACAGTAAAGGAAAAGATTGTACAGCAAATGCTAATGCCAATCATTGATTATGGGGATGTAGTATATGCATCTGCACCGCAATCCAACATTAATAAACTCAATACATTGTATAACTCGTTCTGCCGATTTGTGCTACTAGGTAATTACAGGACCCACCATTGTGACATGCTAAAAGAACTAAACTGGCTGTCGCTGGAATCCAGACGCACCCTTCATCTTTCCAGCCTTGTGTTTAAGAGCTGTTCTGGGAAGCTCCCACCCTACCTGAACAAAATGCTCTCCCCAGCTGTTCCCACCTCCTATAACCTCCGATCCAGTACCAGCACTTTATTTAGTCTACCTCAATACAAAAAGAAAGCAGCTCGATCCTCCTTCTCCTACAGAGCGCAACAATTGTGGAACGACCTCCCACACACTTTCAAATCTTCCCCAGGCCTAAAGTCCTTTAACCCCTTAAGGACCGAGGACGGTTCAGGACCGTCATCGGCATTTTTGCCTTGCTGACCGATGACGGTCCTGAACAGCCCTAACGGTCCTATTTACTTACCTGATCACCGTAGTTCCCCCGGCGGCGATCAGCGTGGCTCCTGGTGTGGGGAGACTGCCTGCAGCCCAGACAGTCTCCCCACACTGAATTAGGACCCCTGTGGCCATGTGATCGCTTAACAGAGCGATCACATGGTCACAATAGGTGTCCATGTGTCTGCCTGCAGGGGGACTGTCTGTGCTGACAGGCAGTCTCCCTGCTGGTGTAAAATCAAAAAATATAATAAAGTTAATGTTAATTAAAAATAAAAAAAATTATATATGTGTATATATATATATATGATTACATTTTTTTAAATAATAATAAGAATTGAAAAAAAATATATATCTAAATGAAATTTTATTCTAACTGTATTTTAAAATTAATATATATATATTTATATCAAAATACACTTAGAATTAATTTGTATATATCTATGTATATATAATAAATAAAAATAATACGAAATATACATATGTCCATATTCAAAATTACATAAATAATTATATAAATATACACGTAGATTTCAAATATATAATTATGCATATATATTTAAATTCTACGTGCGTATTTATGGAATATTCTTACATAATTAAGTAATTTTATTGATTGCAATTTGAGGGACCTGCCTGCCAACCCAGGCCGAAAGTCCAGAGAATTTAATTTGCTAGCACTGTATTTTACCCTGTAACGTTCTACGACACCCTAAAGCCTGTACATGGGGGGTACTGTTTTACTCGGGAGACTTAGCTGAACACAAATATTAGTGATTCAAAACAGTAAAACATATCACAGCGATGATATTGGCAGTGAAAGTTACTTTTTTGCATTTTTCACACACAAACAGCACTTTTACTTATGATATAATTGTTACGTTTTCCAGTTTTTAAACACTAATATTTGTGTTCAGCAATGTCTCCCGAGTAAAACAGTACCCCCCATGTACAGGTTTTATAGCATTTTTGAAAGTTACAGGGTCAAATATATGGGTCAAATATTTTTACATTGAAAATGGCCAGGTTGGTTACGTTGCCTTTGAGAGCGTATGGTAGCTCAGGAATGAGAATTACCCCCATGATGGCATACCATTTGCAAAGGAAGACAACTCAAGGTATTGCAAATGGGGTATGTCCAGTCTTTTTTAGTAACCACTTAGTCACAAACACTGGCCAAAATTAGCATTCAATTTAGTTTTTTTACTTTTTTCACACACAAACAAATGTGAATGCTTACTAAAAAAGACTGGACATACCCCATATTGAATACCCTGGGTTGTCTACTTTAAAAAAAATATGTACATGTGGGGTGTTATTCAGAGATTTATGACAGATAATAGTGTTACAATGTCACTATTGATAAATTTTAAAAATGTATGTTTTGAAACCGCAATATCCTACTTGTACCTATAGCCCTATAACATGCAAAAAAAAAAGCAAAAAAGCATGTAAACACTGGGTATTTTTCAACTCAGGACAAAATTTTGAATTTTTTTAGCAGTTTTTTTCATTTGCTTTTGTAGATGAGTAAAAGATTTTTCAAGTAAAAGTAAAAAAAACATGTATTTTTTTCAATTTTTCATCATATTTTTTTATTTTTTTTAAATTAAAATACATGAGATTATATAAATAATGGTATGTAAAGAAAGCTGTCCTTCAAGAAAAAACAATATATAATTTGTATGGGAACAGTAAATAGAGACGGAAAATTACGTAAACACAAACACCACAAAGTGTAAAAATATGCCTGGTGCAAATGTACAACATCATAAAAACAGTCCAGTCCTTAACCCCTTGGGGCGGGTGGCGGAACGAAGATCCGTCCTCAGAGAAAACGCATAGCGAAGAGTAGCGGACCACCGTCCGTCCGCGCTGACAAAATAACCCTGGATGCGCTGGCTATTGCGGCGTCTGGCGAAGATATGGTACTCGGCCAATACTCTGCATTGAGAGCGCCGCACGGAAACACACCGATCGAACTACTCAGCACGTAATGCCGCTCACGGCCGCCAAGTCTGAAAACACATGTGCTCTGTATACTCACCTACCGGCTCCCTGCACTTCCGGGTTCTGTGTGAAGTGCAGGGAGCCGGATCAGTGCTGATCCTGCCCCCTGCTGGAAAAAAAAATAAAGTTTATTTAAAGTCCCCCTTACCCATTTTAATAAAAAATTAACCCCTTCCCTGCCAATTGATCACTGACTACAGTGATCAATTGGCAGGGATTACATTTTACTATGATCTGATTTTTTTTTTTAACCCTCAGGGGTTAAATTTATTTAATTAATTAATTAAAATATTTTTAAATTATATATTTAGCTAGCTGGGGTGGGTGGAAGTTAGTGGGGAATTGGGGGATTTGGCGTTAGGCTAACTAGGGGTTAACGTTAAAAAAAGTTTTAAAATAACCTTTAAAAAGTAAAAAATTAAGCTTAAAAAATGTTTTAATAACGTTTAAGTAAAACAAAAAAAAAACCCTTTACCTAGTCCAAATAAAAATTAACCCCTTCCCTGCCAGTCGATCACTGCCTACAGCGATCAAATAGAGATCACAGTATTATACTGTGATCTAATTTTTTTTAACCCCTGAGGATTAACTTTTATTTATTTTTTAACCCTCAGGGGTTCAATTTATTTAATTAATTAATTAAAATATTTTATAACTATGTATTTTGCTAGCTGGGGTGGGTGGGAGTTATGGGAAAATGGGGAATTTACTGTTACTGCTGCGTACTGCTAGTTAGGGGTTAACGGTAAAAAAAAAAGCTTAGAAAAATGTTAAATCTGTAAAAAAGTTTTAAGAAAGTTTAGGAAAGTTTAAAAAAAATTTATAAGCAAAACAAAAGTTTAAAAACTAGTTTTTAAAAGTAAAAAAGTTATAAAAAGTAAAAAAATACATTTTAAAAACGCTCATTACCACTACACCTGGAACAAACTAGAGAAAAAAATTATCCCACGCCAAGGTTCAAAATATGCCTTTTGAATTACCCCAGGGTGTATTCTTTAATAAATAGTATGTGTTTGTGGGGAAGTTTCAATAACCAACCGTCTAAACTACTCCAAATTGGAACATGGACACAGCGTAAAACTTCAAAGTTAGAAAAAAACTGAATGGCTGCGTTTCAAATGCGCCCCTTCAACATCCACATATACCTGGCAAAGGTACATACAGGGGTATTGCTGTACTCAGCCGACATAGCTGAGCAACATATGAAGTATTATACAGTCATAGCACACATAAGGTTTGCAAAATATGTTGCACAAACTCACTTTGTATGTCAAAAAGGCAGAAAAAATGCTTATTACCACTACACTTGGTACAAGCTAGCGGAAAAATGATCCCACGCTAAGGTTCAAAATATGAATTTTGAAATACCCTGGGATGTCTTCTTTAAGAAATGGTATGGCTTTATGGGGTATTTGGATTATATAGCCTGGTAAAATACTCTAAAATGGGACATAGGCACAGCATAAAAATTCAAAGTTTGAAAAAACTGGAATGGCTGTGTCCCAAATGTGCCCCTCCGATGTCCACACATACCTGGCAAAGGTACATACGGGGGTATTGCTGTACTCAGCCGACATAGCTGAGCAACATATGAAGTATTATACAGTCGTAGCACACATAAGGTTTGCAAAATATACTGTGCAAACTCACTTTGTATGTCAAAAAGGCAGAAAAAACGCTTATTACCACTACATCTGGTACAAGCTAGCGGAAAAATGATCCCACGCTAAGGTTCAAAACTATACCTTTTGAAACACCCTGGGGTGTCTACTTTAAGAAATGGTAGGCCTTTGTGGGGTAGTTTGAATTTAAAACCTGCGAAGATGCTTGGAAATTGCACATAGGCCCAGCGTCAAAATTCAAAGTTTGGTAAAAACGGATATGGCTTGGTCTCCTATATGGCACTGTAGCTTCACGAAATAGTGCCAAAGACATTCATTGGGGGTGTCTTTTTACTCAGAAGACTTAGCTGAGCATAATTTGGGAGGTTTGAACTTAGTGGCACATATGAAATATACAAAACGCCCAGCAAAAATGCAATCCGTATGTAAAAAATGCACAAAATTATTTTTTACCACATACTTTGGCATATATTGGTGAAAAAATGGGGGCATGTTAAGGCACAATATGCACCTTATAAGATACCCTGGAGTGTCTACTTTTACAAATGGTAGGCCTTTGTGGGGGGTTTTTGAACAGTCAAACTGTTATAATACCCCAAATGGAAGCTAAGGCTCATTAAATCCATCTCTCAAAATTCTACTGTGAATACTGAAAAGGACAGGTATCCTGTGTGGCACTGTAACTTCACAAAATAGTGCCAAAGACATACAATGGGGGTGTCATTTTACTCAGCAGATGTAACTGAACACAAAATAAAACTTTGTACAGGAATAGCACACACCAACTTTACAAAATATACACGAGAATTTCTTTGTTATAAGTTTGTGTGCCAAAAACCAAAAAAAACCACAATTTTACTCCAATATTTAGCAGAGGTTGGCGGTGAAATGGCTACGTAGAAAGTGTCAAAACAACCTTAGGTAAATAGCCCGTGATGTCTACTTTATATAAATATATACTTTTGTGTGGCAATTTTGTTTTCTTTTATGGCTATTAAGCTTACAAGACAAACATACCAAATTCTAAAATCGCTCCACATTAAAAGTCTATTTTACTCCTTGTGCTTTGTGACCTGTAACTACCAAAAAAAACTTAAAATCCCAGACACATTGTATATTCTGTAAATCAGAACAACTAAATTAATTTATTTTTAATTACTTTTCTTAACCTGCACTAATTATGCACACATTATTATTGCAAAAACTGTAAAAAAAAAACACAAAATTTTCATTTTTTTTACATTTTTCTGTATTTTTTTATAATAAATAAGCATTTATATATATGTGTGTTACATCAAATTAAAGCCCTTTCTGTCCTTTAAAAAACGATGTATAATATGTGTTGGTGCAACAAATAAGTAAAATGCAAATTGCAGTTGAACACAAACAGCAAAAAATGAAAAAAATGCCGTTGTCATTAAGTGAAAGACAAGCTTTTGAAGCTCTGTCCTTAAGGGGTTAAGGGGTTAAGAGATCCATCTCTACATATTTCAAAACAGAATGCTCGTGTCATGGTTGATTATATATTATCTACCTGTTAAATTTTGTATATATTGTTTATTAATATTGTTTTTGTATTTTATTGTACCCTAATTGTAACAATGCAATGTTTTGTGGACCCAGGACATACTTGAAAACGAGAGAAATCTCAGTTGTATCTTTCCTGGTAAAATATTTTATAAATAAATAAATAAATAACTGAACAGAACTTTTGGTGCATAGCCAATGTATTCCCATAAGCTGTCGCTTGTTATGGCTGAACGGAATACCAGGAGAAAGACAACAATAATGACTTAATATTCCAGGTTTTACAATTTATAGCCATTTCAGCTGGCGATGTACTCCATGCTTTATTTTATGCATATTGCTAAGCAACATTTCACTGAATTCAACTCAATACATACGGTTTTTCCTACAGGTTCCTTTGCTTGGATCTGGTCTGTAATTTCATGTCTGAGCAAGATTGCACGGCCTTAGGTCACATGATTACCGATTCAGGCTGTAAATCACTCTGCTAACAGCTAAGATCTAAAGCAGATAATTAGCATGAGATAAGAACCATTCTATGTGCTCCAGCAATCTCTTATCTCCCACTTGCCAACATCCCCTGTTACTGTGTACATTAGTCTTGCCACATGTTGCACTTTTTACAATCTTGTATGAGCAAACACTGACTATGTAGACACCTACTTATTAACAAGGGATGCAGTACTTGTATAGTTCTTGCACAAAATACAAGAATTACATTTAATGCATGTTATGATTCAGCTATTGTGGCCATATATTTGTAATACAACTATTCAATAATTCCTGATAATTCACAGTTTTGTTAATAACATTTGCTGCACAATGATTTTTTTTTATTCTAAAAGGAGAATTTAGGTAACGATAAATAATCAGAGATATTTCTCCAACCCAGCTACAGTCCCAGCTTTTAACTGTTTAAAATTCAGAGTTTCGAGAATGAACCTCTGTGTGTGTTCAATGATTTCCATGTGGCTAGGAAAGTAATTATGAAGGATATGGAATTAGGAAAACCACAAGATGTAAATCTGTATAAACATCAAGCTGTAGTAACTATGATATCATAAATGGTTTAGTAAAATTTTAACAATTCTTTAATTATTATCGTCACTAATGGCTTCCATTCTATTGTCTATTCTATTATCTTTAGACAATTAAGATCAATCGCTTCGGAATTGTTAGGAATCCATCAGGATATTCCAAACGTTAGGACAAATGAATATTTAGAATTAATATTGCAATTTCAGTTCACCAAGGTTAACCGCTTAGTTAATAGCCCAGTGGCTCCCAACTCAGGCCTTAAGACCCACTAACAAGGATTTGCCAGGATTCCCACTGGAGCATAATGGGAAGATTGTTTTACTGGGTTGGGAAGCCCAGAATTAACCTTAAGAGCCTTTGTTTAGTAACATAAATATGAGCCACAAGCCACTAATCACATGACCTAAAAGCCCTATTGGGTTTTAAAGGAACACTTTAGTGCCTCAATAGAAAAATCACTGTTTAGTAGATATACCATGTATGCATACAAGTAATTATGATATTTTTTTCATTGTGGCATATCTTAAACAGCTTGTAAAAGCTGCAGACCTCTTTCCTTTGCAAGCCCTCCCCTTCTAACCCCGCCCAGACTTTTTGTGTCTGTCCAATCACAGTTTTCTCAAAGCAGCTCAATGAAAAGTCTTTGCAAAACAGGTGCTCTGGGCAAGTGCTCAGCGGAGTTTAGCTCCACTGAGTTAAAGGCACTCTCCAGTGCCAGTTAAACAAACCAGCACCGATGTCCCTCAGCGGTGATTTCGGGTCTGCCCACGCTCGGCAGGGGAGACCTATTGCGCAAACGCAGCCGGCGGCGGGGAGAGACCTAATGTGCATGCGCGTCAGGCGGCGGGGAGAGACCTAATGCGTATGTGCGGCAACGCCGAGCACACGCATTAGACCTCCCCATAGGAGAGCATTGAAAGATGCTTTCAATGCTTTCCTATGGGGATTTTAGCGGCGTTGCTGTGCTATAAACCTGGAAGTGCCCTCTAGTGGCTGTCTAGTAGACAGCCACTAGAGGAGGAGTTAACCCTGCAAGGTAATTATTGCAGTTTATGAAAACTGCAATATTTACAGTTGCAGGGTTAAGAGTAGTGGGAGTTGGCACCCAGACCACTCCAATGGGCAGAAGTGGTCTGGGTGTCTGGAGTGTCCCTTTAACCAAACCAGGAAGTAACAGGACCGGTTGTCTGATTGACAGCCAGCAGTGATTGACAGTGCTAGTTTATAAAAGTACCAATTTATACGGAAATGTGCACTTTTGTGAAAATGAAAAAAAGAGGACACTGAAGTGCTTTAGGGCTCTGAAGTGTCCCTTTAAAATAGAAAAATAAGAAGTTAAATCTTTAAAACAACTGCCACAGGCATACCTTTCTTTATAGAACTTGTAAAATTTATGGAGTCATAATCTTCAGCTCAACATTTCAACATGTTACTCAAAAGCGACCATTTTATTTCTTTAGAAATATAGCTGAAGCTTCTTATATAAATTTGCAGAGTCAACTACTCTTTGTTAAAAAATATAAAATTCACTCACTGTTTATAAACGTGGTTATACACTAAAGTGAGAATTCAAAGTGAATAAAAAATCAGTTTCAAATTTAAGGTCTAAATAGCCGATCTAGAAAAATTCTCCAAATCATCCATGGTGCAATTTCAACTTTTCTGGCCTATATTGTAAAAAAAAACACTTTGATTTCACTTTGCATTCTCACTTAGTAAATAGCCCTGAAAGTGATTTCAATGAATCCAGACTCATGCTTTGCTTTTTTAAACTGTGATAAGGTGATAATTTTCCTCTAATCTGCAGTTGGTGTTTAATGGTGCCCATGAGACTGTTATGTGTAAGCAGATGGGATAATTGCCATTTCTGAACTACTTGGGAAACATTTGGACCCAATTACTGATATCAGTGGTAGTTTGCATTTCATCTAGAAGTCGTTTGCTGAGGAGGAGTGTTGTTTATTGCCCATTTCTACTGAAAACAGTGATTTATGCAGAGTTGAAGGCAATAAATAAAATGAGCATTAAACGGACTGTCCAGTGCCAGGAAAACAATTTGTTTTCCCAGCAATGCAGGTCCCCTCTCCCTCCCACCTCCCATCCCCGGTTGCTAAAGGAGTCAAAACCCCTTCAGTGACTTACCAGAGGCGACGATGTCCCTCGGCACTGCTTCTTGGTCCACCCACAGTCCTCGCCGTCACTACATCAGGCGTCAGGGGAGACTGATCACGCCCGCCGTCAGGGGAGACCTAACGCGCATGCGCAGCAACGCAGCGCACGCACATTAGACCTCCACATAGGAAAGCATTGAAAATGCTTTCAATGCTTTCTTATGGGGATTTTAGCGACGCTGGAGGTCCTCACATAGCATGAGGACATCCTGTGACGCTAGAGCACAGAAGATCTGTGCTATAATCCCGGAAGTGCCCTCTAGTGGCTGTCTAGTAGACAGCCACTAGAGGAGGAGTTAACCCTGCAAGGTAATTATTGCAGTTTATGAAAACTGCAATAATTACAGTTGCAGGGTTAAGGGTAGTGGGAGTTGGCACCCAGACCACTCTAATGGGCAGAAGTGGTCTGGGTGCCTGGAGTGTCCCTTTAATGTTATGTGAACACCAATATTTGGAAAATTCCCCAGATCTGATATTTTAACTTAATTTTAGAAGTTGATAGTCAGCTCGTAACTTGCTGCTCAGTAAATTAACCTAATAATGGTTTATTCCATAAAGTGGCAATTGCTAGGAAATCATTGTGAATGTCAAATTTTAGTTTAAAATATCTTAGCTGAAAATGTAGCTGACTTGGAGAAATTTTAAATTCACTTTTAACTTAAATTTTTATGTAATTTAAAGTTTAATTTTATTAATTTATTATTATTGTCAAAACAAATAAACATGGGGGATGTCTTAGGCAAAATGTTAGGAGAAAGGCAGGGTACAGTTTGACAAAGACACAGCCTCAATAATGTTACAAATGATGTGCAATATCCAGGCACCCAGATCATTTCTGCCCATTGGAGTGGTGTGAGTGCCAACTCCCACTACCCTTAACCCTGCACGTGTAATTATTGCTGTTTTCATAAACTGCAATATTTACCTTGCAGAGTTAACTCCTCCTCTAGTGGCTGTCTACTAGACAGTCACTAGAGGGCACTTCCGTGATTATAGCAAACGAAAAGTGTGCTATAGCGTCGCTGGACGTCCTCACGCTATGTGATGACCTCCAGCGTCACTTAAATCCCCATAGGAAAGCATTGAAAGCATTTCTCAATGCTTTCCTATGTGGAGGTCTAATGCGCGTGCACATTAGGTCTCCCCCGCCGGCAGCGCATGCGCAGTAGGTCTCCGCTGCCGGATGATGTCGGCGGGGGAGTAGTGTGGGCGCACCCTGACCCAGCGCCGAGGGACATAGGCACTGGATACAGGTAAGTCACTGAAGGGGTTTTAACCCCTTCAGCAACTTGGGATGGGGGGTGGGAGGGAGAGGGGACCTGCAGTGCCAGGAAAACTGTTTGTTTTCTGGAGAATCCCTTTAATATGTTTTACAACCAGTAGGTAATCACAAGACTTTGTAGCAATTGTGTTTCAGCTGGTTAGAACGAATCAAAATTATTTTAATCTAAGGCCAAACAAACCGATCCACCCCATTCCACATGCAAATCCCGAACAGATCGGTTTGTTCTGGATTAGATTAGAAAGGATTTATGTGGATTTACCACTTCACTACCAGAATCGAGTATAAACCGTTTTATTTCCATGTATTGAGCAGTATGAAATGTAATCCATAAAGGATCACTCTCCCTGATTTATACTCTAGTTACAATCACCATATGTCAGTTCATTCCTCATAAATACTTATTTGTTAAATATAGAGGATAAGGAAATATAATATCAAAACCTTATAAAAAGTTATAGTTGCCCTTTAAGGCATGTCGGAGTACGTTTGTGAGTGGCTTTGGCTGCGGGAGCTGACATACTTTCCATTTGTGACAGCTAAGTTAGACAGCCTGGTGGGAGGCAGTGTTAATTTTGTTGACTAAAAATTTTTAGATTTAGGCGACTAAAACTAAAACAATTCGGATGATTAAAATATGACTAGAAATAAAATGTTTTTTTAGTCAAAAGACGATGACTAAAACACTGACACTGGTGGGAGGGTTTCCTAGCGACACGTGTGAATGATGTTCAGGTCTGATAGACCAGTGCTTTTTCATTGAAAGCAGTCAGGAAACAGGATAAGGAGGAGTAGTTGTGGTGTGAAAGGTATAGATTGGTATGTATCCCTTATATTTGTATGTACAAGAATGTATATCAACATAGTCATGCTGGGAATATAACAAAAATATATAAATAAAATGGAATCATAATGTAGTCAAGACCCCAGATTTATTTCAGATCAGGAGTTTGTTCCACCAAAGAAAACTATTAAAATTAATGCTATTTCAATGGGAAAAAGAACAACAAAAACAAACAATATATTTGTAAATGCAAGTAAATGCAAAGGTATGAAATGTGTAATAAACATTGCTTTATCCTGTGAGTAATACAAAAATAAAAAGTAAAAAAAAAAAAAAAAAGAGAGAGAGAGAATTCAGAACATACTGGAACTCTACCAAAGGTTTAAATGGGTCGCCCCACACTGCCATCGCACTGCCAATATATCTGTACTAGAATTGTGCAAAGCGAGAAAATTAAGTTTGGCCACACCATTTTCCCCAAAAATAGGAAACATTTTCGGGCGCCCAAATTCCGGCCATATTTGTTGGTTTAGCTCTGCAGAATTTCGTAATAGAAACCCGATTCAGAAACTAATCAGATGAACCAAAGAGAGCGGAAATGGGCTGTCATTAGTGACTGTCCCCCTACCCATCAATCATCTGTTTTTTTGGCACCCTGGATAGAATTCAAACTCACGAACCAAAATGAACATGTTTGGCATTGCGTGGCTTGTTTGGGCCATGAATCAGGTACATTTCAGAGTTCAGAAATTCAGCAAATTGCCATCAGGACCAAAACTAATCTCCACGGCTAATCTGTACCAATAGTGTATATGGTTAAGAAACAGTGGATGTAGTTGGATAAATTGACGATAAAAGACAATGATGTAGGTAGGTGCCATGCTCAAGCCCAGGGCAGTCTCTATGATTTGGTAGTAGAAGGCATCTAAGAACAACTTTCCAAGTACATTTCGAAAGAGACCTATAAGGTCCATCAAAGTTGTTCTTATAGACATTCATATTTTGTATCCTTTAACGTATTGCAGAGAGGAGCAGTTGTCCAAGAATATACATAATGGGGTGAGGGCTGAATCAAGCCCTGCCATGATTTGTTTACCAGGTGGATATGCCAGGGATTTAAGAATTTTTGGCGGCACAAACATAGTAGGTGTTCCTGGACCTTTTTATGAAAAATGTTCAACTGTGAATTCAAGAAAATGAAACCATTAGTATTCATCACAACAATAATTCAACCCTCATCTGCAGGCGGCATGGTAAGATAAGATCTGTATTAGACTTTATTGTTTTCGATGTCAGTTTTTTTGATATGTCGATAAGTTCGGCCTACCTGTAGCAAAATGCTCAAATTTTAACAATGCAGAGCAAGTTCTCTGAGCCAATGAAATATAAATTGTGATTACTGGATTAACCCTTAAATGTTCCCAAGATTCGTATTTTATTCTTAACACAGACTCGCTTTTTATTCTCTAACAGCTGTAATATTGTAGAAACCATTGGAATAATGGTTTCTACAAACATATGATTACAACAGCTTTGCTTATTAACCCCGTTGACGCTGAGCCAGTGAAAAATATGTTTTTGCAATTTTGGTATTTTCAGTGAAACATGATAATTTGCATTTTTCTGTAGCTATCTCCACAATTCATATATTATTATTATTATTAACACATACAGCGTTTTCCTTTTTATTTGAAAAAAAAAGAAAACACTACCCTAAATGTACCAAAATAGCCAAAATCTTAAACAAATAGAATTTTCAATAAACTTTGTGGCTAGCAACATTTTCTTTAGTTTTATAATTGTGAGTAACTCAGTTTGCTAAAAAATAACTTAAAGGATTTTATAATGATAATCATCTATTAGGTATACGTACTTAAAATATAGGTGAGATTTTTTTTTTCCTTTTTTAATTTTTAATTATTTTTTTTTATGGATGGAGAACAGAGAGCAGAATAAGATATAATATAATTATTTAAATATACACTTATTAATAAATTGCCTTTGGCAATTATCACAAGAAAGGTCCTGTGCACTAATGGTCCGTATCTCATTTCAGCATATGTGTACATACACTGAGAGTAACTTGTGTGGCCGGATTTACACGATTTGTGGTTGGTTCCATTGACGTTTATACACATGGCTCAGATGGTGAAAAGGCAGTAGAAGTCTTTTTGTTAGTATCAGATAATCCTACAGGCGCTGTCGGATACCCAGGGGTATCATTCTCTGGTGTTAGCCCAGCACCTGCACTGTGTTATACAAACGCCTGCACAGCAAAGTATTACCATATGACGCTTACAGATTCATCCAAAGCTTTCTAAAGAATCATCTCCAAACAGTTCTTTAAAAACCATGTATCTAGGGCAATCTTTAATCCATTGCCCCACATCTAATGATAATATAATTTAATTTGCCTGTTGCGTTTCCTTTGAAATATAATAACTCAAAGACATAAGTTTCTTTTATTTTCTTCCAAACTACAGTGTTTTTCCTTAAACAAATTTAAAAGCTTTATGAGATAAATCGTAAGCACATAACGACACCCACGTAATGTTACTAAATGTGGCAAAGTGTCTACAGCAGGGATAGGCCATCTTCGGCACTCCAGATGTTGTGGACTATATCTCCCACGATGCTTTGCCACAATTATGGCCGTGAGAGCATTGTGGAAGATGTAGTCTGGAGTGCCGAACGTTTCCTATCCCAGGACTTTACAGCATATTTATTCCTGGGATAACTAAGTAACAATGTATATGGAAATAACTCCATATCGACAAATAATTTGGGTTTATTTAGTAAACACCGTATTGTAGTGAATTAAAAGCTGAAATGCAAATTTAGGATACAATAGCCAAGGTGTGACTGTAGTTCAGAGATTTTTTCCTAAATAAGACTTTTCCCCTTAATTTGAAATTTGCTGTTCAATTCACAAAAGTTGTTGTTTTAAAAAAAAAATAAAAAAAATAATTAATTTAAAAAAAAGATTAGGTATCCACTAACCCAGGGGCGTAAAATTATTTTAAAATAGATTTTGCACATATAAGGCCAAAAAAATAGTGGAGGATGAAAATAAAATCAGTCCCAACTGTTTTTGTTACAATATACTAAACCCAATAAATGTGTGTATAATTATAAGTAGAAAATATGTGGACTAGCGCTATAGTCTTATCAGTAGCAATAATATAAAGGAATGTATAGCATCTAATAAAAGTAAACGTGAAATAAGAGAGAGCATGAATAATGTACCCATTGTACAGAGCTACGGAATCAGATGGCGCTATATAAATAATAAAATAATAATAATAATTGTCCTAGAGCAGGGATAGGCAACCTACGGCACTAGTGCCATGCACGGCACTCGAGGTGTCTTTTTCTCGGCACTCAAGGCTGCTAGAGCCCAACAGGCTCTGACCTATCAGGAGTCTCAGTGAAACTTCAGATATCTGCTAATACAAAAAGGTGGTGAAGGAAAATCCTCAATTTATGCATTGCAGCACTTAGAGGAAGTGATCTCAGATCATTTCATCCCAGCACTTGTGAATGGGAATCCACACTGTAGTAGAGCAGCCTGCAGCTGCTGTTGCAGCTCCTGTCCTTGACCTGTATCTGGCCGGCCTGGTCCCCACTGGAACCCAGGGAAGCCACCCACACTGCTAGATATACGCAGAAATGCAGAATAACCCTCCCCTCATACAAATAATACGAACAGCCTACACACAAACATACACACAATCCGCAAAAACGAAACACCACTAACAATACACATACATGCACACAACCCCACATGCAGCCTCTCACATGCAATACCCCAAACAACCCCCACACTACCAAACACACAATGTGACATATCCATCCACACACAATTCCACAAGCAGCCCCCATACACAGCCCACATTCATATGTATCATACACAATACCATAAACTACTCATAAACATTTACAATATAATAGCTCAAATACAACGATACAGAGCAATTACAGTAAAAATAACACAAGCAGAATACGGCAGCATACACACCTCAATTTAAAAAAAATAGGACCAGCACGCTACGGGACATCACAAACCTATATCAGCACAGTGCTGCTAAAAGGTTGCCTACCCCTGTCCTAGAGTCTCTGAGGGCCAAGCAGGGGCAGCCTGTAGGGTTTGGAAGTATTTGGCGGATTTATAGGGTACTCCAGGCACTTGTACAGGTTATGTGCAATCGGTAGGTTGTGTTTCAGTTAATTGTGCCTTACTGTTCCTCTCTCCCACCTGCAGTTTCCCCATTTTTGTCCTTTAAAATGCTGCTGTACATACTTTTATGACATTCTGACCAAACATCAGCTTCTTTACATTTAACTTCAACCCCCAGATCCTGTCACTGCATCCATATATCACGGTTTATGGGAATGGGCTTAAACAGAACCTTTTTTAGCCAAAGATAAAGTCTTTGTAGGACTGATGACATCATGCCATTTCACACCAACCTACATGTACGGAATCAAAGCAATATCATATATGGATATAGGAATAGGATATTTGTTTGCATTATCTGCATGACTTGCTGCTATTCTAGTGATGCTCCTTTGATTAAAGACCATCTCGATAAATGGTGTGCTTTCATCTTAAAAAGTTAAAATGTGAATTTAATAGAAATAATTAACCAAACAAAAAATTTGTCAAAATATGTCAATTTTACGCAGACAATTCTGAGCTGGAGAAATAGTGGATGATGAGACTTTTCGCAGTTTGACTATTTTGTCATAATGACAATAATTTAGAATTCACCATCTAGTCAATAACTCAGGATAATTTCCACACTCTGAATACTGGCCATTAAAGCAAGGTTTATTCCATATTAAACACATGCTAGAACTGTTTGTCTCTAATAAGACAAATCCGCATGTATATAACAGTGTTACAAACAACACTGCAGGGTATTGCAAATGTATACCCCCTATTAATGGATTTTACTTCGTTTTTTATCAGCACTAAAAAAGTAGACAAATAAAGGGACACCAACCGATTTTAAAATTTTTCATTTTTGTAAACATATTAATTGAATATTATATATTCCAGAAAAACTAAAATTGTCATGTTTATTCTCGAAACCAGGAATTTTTTGGACCAAGAATTTGCAAATTGTAGGCGTAAAAAGCAATATATGTGCATTAAAAATATACTGATTGTATTTTGTAAAATGAAATTCTTTGAGTTTTCATTGTGTGAGCCGTGTTCCCTGCAGCTGTCTTGGGAAAGTTAGAACTATAACTAAGAGCAGCTGTAATCTCAAAACTTAATTTGCAACACTCCACCTTGTAGAAGCTGAACAAACTAATTTATTAAAAAATATTTCTGCATAGTACTAATAAAATGTTTATTAAAAAAAAAAAGAAAAAAGAAAAACCATATACTATTATAGCACCACCGACAAAAAAAATATTGTAGATTCTTTGAGTTAAACACAAACCACTAATTCAATGTTTGTGCCTCACACCCAGCACTGTTTAATTCAACAGCACCTGCCCGAGGACCGCCAATAACCTGCTCAAACACACAAAAGACGCAGGCAGCACTTTGACTACTCAGGTTACATACCAGCTGCTAACCAGAATCCGTTAGGCTTTTCATGTTCTGTCCCTTGGTTGCTTTTGTGTTTTTCTATAGACTATTTCAAATGAAGTTGTGTCCCACATGAAAGTTATGCATAATAACTTATTTGTAAGCAATGGAAGGAGAGAGGATAATCTTTACATGTTATCCATTGGAGATAAACGTATCAGATTATACCGTATAAATCTATGGTCTAAGTAGGCTTAACGCGCCAGTGTCAATGGCACACATGTAAACATGATATGCAGTGCTGATTGTGCATGCATACACTTCTAGCGGCTGGTTGTATGAGCATCTGGCTCTGCTATAGATGCATTGTAAGCGAAAATGGACTTAAAAAATGAGCAGCCTTGCCGAAATCCCAAATCATTTCTGCACAATGGATATTTACCTATAGCGGCAAAAATGCTTTAACAAACCGAAGGGAAAATTATGAAGCATGTTTTTAAAAGAATTAGAAAAAAATTAGTTTATTAAATGGTTCAAAATTTAGGTTTTGTAAAACGAAAAAGTGTAATGATCAAAAGTCAAAAGTCACATCATTGGATCAGCCGGCGAATGTGAGCTGGATGAAATAGAAAAAACTGAAAGGTGAAATAGTCTCCAAGTAAAATTAAATCTCTGTTCTTTAGAAGGCAGGACTAAAAGAGGACTTAAGCCTATACAGGCCACAAGCACCGGGTCTATGGAGAGCGCTTATTCAGAATGTTTGGGCCCATGTGTCTATGAATTTATCCCGATCTGCAATGCAACATATGGTGTTTTATAAAAATATGTTGCAGTGGTAGTAGTGTTGGTATTATATAATAAATATAGCTCTGCTGATAGTTTACTTTAGTTTGTAACTAGGAAAGGAATAAGCTTTAGCAATAAAAATGTTACATGTATCAGAGTCATTACGTTCATGTGTGCCACGTTGTACGGCTGCGATCCATGCTAGGAAATTCAACTCTCCAACTCATTTTATCCTTGGATATTTCTAACAGGAGTGAGTTTAATGAGAATATTGAATATAAACCTGTAAATGAATTTAAAAAAAGTAAGTTGGGAGAGATTTTGGGCTTTACAATATGGCATGTTCGTGCACAAACTAGCAAAACGAAATACAGTTATATAGCCAGGACCATCTTCCTTGGATGCTGATGAAATTATTCACTAAATCCAAAACTGGGAAATAAATATTGAGCTCTGTTAATAATGACTAAACCGTGTGCAAATATTTACCAGTCCTAGTTTAGTAAATAACGTCAAGTGGTGTCTTTACTAAACACTGAAGTGTAGTGGATTTACATAAAAATTGCTAAATTTAGTGGGGGGGGGGGAAATCTATCTCAGCTACAGTCACAGGCTGACCATTTTAGTCTAAATTTTGCAACTTGGGTTTTCGTTTCACTAAAATTAGCGGTTTAGTAATGTTTAATAAAGTGGATCATATATGATTGGGGGAGGGGGGTATACTTTGCAGACCAGTGGGATAGTTTGCTACGTCACACTGACAAAATAATTCAGTATTCATACAGATAAAACTAGTGCTTTTTGCCTCTGTTTTGCAGCAGGAAATAATTAGCAAAGAACTCTTAAATATTTCAGTGTGACAAATTACACGCTGTGTTAGCTAATTGTCACTAAGCCTTATATCCCTTTCAATGAACTCATGAAGTGGATCCTGTGAAGTGTGCTGTATTAATTGGTGTGTTTTTAAGTGATTCCTGTGGGGTATAAAACTCTTCCGTATTGCACAGAAACAAAACCAGATTTACAGTAAATACAATCTTTTATGTTGTTTTAACAGCTGTCTTTTACAACAGTTTTATGAGCTCATTTTCATATTACCCAAAATCCCCTACTGCAACAAGAAAAAGTAAATGATTCATCATGATTATTTTATGACAAGAGGGTTTTAGGGCAAAATACTGTAAATTCAATGCACTCAAAAAGAAACTTTTATTACTGCAGTTAATTTGTTATTACAACGCACATAAGACATGTGGGCATCATATATTGTCTTGTTCATAGCAATTGATAAATTATACGAGAAGTTTTTGTACTTCAGCCTTAAATTTGAAATTCCCAACAAATCACACGTTTGTAACTAATCGTGCAAGCCGTTTAGTTAATGTAACTCTATAAATTCTCTCGATCAGTGTAAATGAATCAATTATGATACATGGACAGAAATATAAAGTTCATAGTAAAATGAGATTATAGAGCACAGTGTCCGATGTGTTTGTTATATTAAAGAGATATTGCTGAAATAACCTCGCAGGGTTAATCACGAAACTGGGAATTGTTGGGAATTCAAAGTAAATCCAATTTCAAATTTTATGCCAAAATGATGAACAAAAAAACTTAGCTGACTTCAGGGCTTTTTTAAATCCACTCTGATTCCTAACAAATTAAACTTTGGTTAATGACCCTGAAACTTTATATTAAAAAAAAACAAAAACCTAAATTTTGAAATAGAAAATATATATAAAAATACTGTTTTATATTGTTCAAGGATTTTTGAAATCACTTTACTCATGTTAAAAGATGGGGATTTAGTCACACCCTATGACTATACTGTATTAAGCCCACCACTGTGTCTAAGACCCCCAATAATGTTGGGTTCTATTCTAATTTTAATTTATTGAACATGCTACTTGCTCCATTATGTACGGATTTATTTACTAGAATCTAAATGGTGAAATTGAGGCAAAAATGTTTGATGCACAGAAATTTTCTAGATCAGCTATTTCAGAGTTAATAGCCCTATTAATTGTAATACTGAAATATTCCAAGAAACTGAATACAGAGTTGTTTACCTGTAGATGTCAGGAACGAGAGAATTCTAAATTTTAGATGCTAGGTCAAACAAACCTAGCTGAAAACATAGCTGACTGATATAATTGATATAACTGATCGTTTTTCTTCTGGCCTCTTAAAATTCAATGTGAATTACAGACAACTCACAATTTATTGAATTACCGTGCCAGTTTCCCATGCATGCAGCTATCAAGAATTGTGCATGCGCGATAGAATTTGCATATACTGCTGTAAGAATTTAACAAAATATTTTATTTGTTGCATCATGGGCTCCTGAGAAGTTCCAGGGGTTTACCTCCATAATACACTATCAACAATCCCCAAATTACATCCAGAGCTGATTACCCACATTGGTCCAGAGCCATGCCCATCGATAGACCTTCTTCCCTTGATTATAGACAAGCCATCATCATCATATTTATCTAGAGTCCACCTTCCTTATGTCCATCTCCAGCTCCCCTTCTCACGAACCAACGACAATCCCATTTAAAAATGGCTTATTAATTCGCAACAGTTTAAAAAACTAATAATCGTCATAACGTTTGCTTGTTGAAGCTGTAATTTAGGGGCCAAACATTTAGCCGAAATGTAAATACATATTCATTTGTAGATTTTACTTATCATTTGTTTAGAGAAATCTCAAGCCCTGGGCCCCAAATTGTTAATAGTTGGACATTACACCACGGACCTTAAGCACTATCTATATTTAATGGTCTTGTGACCATGATTGAATACAAGCTCCACCCATTACTCACCACTCCATGCACAGTATGCCTTACCGCAGACCCCTTGCTACATCACCTTGTGGGACTTGGATAATGACTGTCAACAATAGGAAATAATTATCCTGCATAAGGTGCCATATGGCTAGTAATAAATGAGAGGCAAAAGTTCAAATATCCTCTTTTCACCTGAACTCAAACACAGCCAAGTGGTATGCCTCCAGCTGCTGTAAAACTACAGTCCCCTTCATGTTTTGCCAAGTCTTTAGGCAGGGGAAGAGCTCACCAATAGGGCTTATTCACAAAACAGGGAATTGCTGTAAATTATAAACTGAATTACAAAATACAACAGGAGGGGGCATCCTCCAACAAAGATACAGTCACAGCTATTTTCGTCAGAATTTTTCAGTTTGATTTTCAATTCAATATGGCTCCATTTTTCGTTAATAAACCCAATGCCTTTTTTCCTTCTAAAACACTTTCTAAACATTTAAATAAAACACAGACTATGGTGACAGAAAAAACAAACGAACAAATGATTCACCTCTTTTCAAATTAAGGAAAAAGGTTTAATATTTATGAATATGCTTTTTTAATGATTTCAAATGTATTACTTATTACTTGTGACACTTTATTATATGTGACACATCAGTATATGTGAAATGTTTCCATCTTTATTAGCACATTACATGGTGTGTCTCATTATTGATACACTATGATGCATTTTCATAGTCCCGTATTCTTTCATTTTTAGTTGAAATGATACTTATCCCGTCTTATATGATCTCAAAGCCTCGCCCATGTGTTTTTTGTTTGTGGGCATTTCACTCCTCTTGCGTAACCACTCTTTTATGCGGCTCCGTACATGTACACTTTAGTGGAATTGTTACACCCCTTGCGTTCCACCATTGGTGGGCGCGTTTATTGACATTCCATTGATTTATTTTGTGTTTTTTGTTTTGGCATCATGCCTTATTGCCTCCAATCCCATAATTGGAATGATGGGGTAAATGATCATTAACACTAATTAATTTACGATACACTGTATATATAGGTAAGGATTTAAGACCTTTGTCAAGCTAACACCATGTTTATTGCATTATGATCCAATAAAACTGCTCTTCATTTGAGCCCAGTGAGTGCCTGAAGCCTCTTTTTGGATGTGCTAAGTGCGTTAATATCCATTCTATCCGTTTTCTTATCATGTGGCAAAATCACTTGTTGCCATAACACAAAATATCCAACCTTTCAAGAACATATTTTATTTTAAACTCATAGATTTAACAATTGTAAAGATAGTATGAAAGTTAAACTTTCTGGGATATTTAAGTAATTGCGCAGAAATCAGTTCTCCAGACCCCCAGCCTTAGCACAAAGTAAAACTTTCCTTCTACTAGATCGTATTTCGAATTGTCGCTTTTCTAAACTCTCTGGTCCAAACAGAAAAAACCACTGCTAATTGTCTGTTATTCAAACTCCACTTGACTTTTTTTTCCTGCTATCTGCACATCTGCCTCTCAATTACAATGCTTAGCCGCTTACCTTACCTGCTCTTTTTTGTGTTTGACAAACTAATATCAGTGTAACTCCATCTAGCTCCGAGAGCCTGTCTTATTTACAACCCATTTACTATTGTGCTTTAATTGTGCCATTTGTTATCAAACTCTTAGGTTAATTGAGCGAATGATTTAACAAGATAAATGTCACCTTAATAAAAGGAAAATACTATTATCTATGTTCTATCTTAAAGAGAAGAAAATAGTACTTTTTAAAACCAGAGATAAACTTGGATCGTTACAGGCTGGTAAGAAAGAAAAATCAGGAGTATTTAGTAGGATCAATGTATATATTACTGTAATTTGATTAACCCTATAGGATCCAGTCTTATTTATCCCCTTAAGGACCAAACTTCTGGAATAAAATGGATAATGACATGTCACACATGTCATGTGTCCTTAAGGGGTTAAACTCTTTTTGGATGAATTGTCTGCAGTGAAAGCTACATTTTAGGCAGGACATTACTTTGAATTTCGGTCCCTTTACACTTGTTTCGGACCCTTCATTTGTTGTTAAAGCCATTATAAGTCATTGGCTGTGATGGGGGTTAAAAAATCTGTACAACATGATAAGGATGAAGATGATACTGGCACAGAGGTTGTGAGAGGTTATAATGAAGCTACAGATGGCAACATGTCTGGAAAATTACTTGTGGCTTTACATTGCAAATCAGTTAGTGTCTTAAAACTGGAACAAGTACAGAGGAGAAATAATGAGAAATTGAAGAGTTTAGTTAGGAAGATAGGGTTTAAAGTTGCAGTTTTTTCTACAACAGAAACATGTCTTAAATGGTATATTATAAAATTATGTATTTAAAAAAATAATATATAGAAAGTACCAATAAAAACTGTCTATTGTGGCATCTTAATTAACAAATCTGTGTAAAGGAAGGTCAGAAAAATAGACTTTAAAAAAGGAGATTTCACCCACAGCAGTAGGTAAAAAAAAAAATGAAATGCCTCGGAAGCTGCGATGTCATATTCAGAAGATACATCACAATATAACAGTAAACATTGTTATTAAAAAAATATTTGATCTAGGAAGAAAAGCAACTGTTATGTAGGATTCAATAAGGTTATTTTTTTTTCCTTTTAAAGCAAATTTCAAAATCAGCACAACTTTATTTACTTTGCTAAGAAATTAGTGTGCATGCACAGCTAAACGCCGCTCTACGTTAATCAAATGCTCTCAATGACAGTAATTTGACCTTGCTGCGGAAGCGCCTCTCATGCCCGTCTTCCAGACATCCACTAGAGGCTTGTTGCAAGGAAAATATTACTGTTTCTGTTTTGTCTTTTAAAGCACATTTCAAAATATCAAAATCACTTATACTGTTTTTATTTACTTCATTTTTTTGCCATTGTTTGGGTCGATGACAAGGATGTGTAAAAGGTTGAATATGGTGTATTATTCCTCATTCTTTTACCGCTACCGGTTTCCTATGACGATTACAACGAAGTTCATGTCAACATCAACTAAGTTAATGATTATTTTTCCACATCTATTTTGATTAGTCACCGTTAGTTGCTGCCATACAAACATTCCGTAGTGAGAGGGTTAACTGTCACAATGTTACATGCCGGGAAACACACAGTTTAAGAGCAATTATAATGCTATTTAACAAGTAATTAATCAGAAATGCCGTGACAGGGAAATTCGTATGTATCCAGGCAAGAAAGGGTTAACTGCAGTTGCACCGATATTAATGCTGGGTTATCCGTGTAATTACATCTGGTGTGGATTAGATGTTTTTTTTGCCGGCCTGAAAAGACTTGACCTAATTGAACTGAGCAAAGGACGCATGTACAATTATATGGTTGAATGGCAGTTATCTTGTTGTTGTTGTTTTTTTGTAGTTGGTTTTTACAAGGCCGGCAATTCAGTTTTGTATTTGTTACATAATTCACATAGTTAAAGTGGATGAAAAAGAGGTCAGATGTCAGCTATCGACCAGTGAATCTCCCTTTCTCTCCGTCTTGATCCAAGATAATACGTTCAATTTCTCATGCCAGGGTTTCAGAATGATAATTATCAGGATGGGCCGAATGGAATTTCCAAAACAATAAACAAAGTGACGAACGAGTTTTTTTTTATCTGAAATGAAAGAAATAACAGAAAAAAATATTTTTGGACAAAGTGAAAAAAAAAATTGTTTGATGTATTTGAACGAAACCAATAGGGAACCACAATGTACATTGCGTTATTAAATCTCAGTTTGAGAAATATTGATAAAATACACAGATCTGACACACCTGCACTTTTTTTCTACCTTTTCCAAGCTCTAGCCCAAATTCCAGAACAACTTCACCAATTTTTGTTTGCACCCCAACAACATTTGTTTGTGTTGATAATATGAAGACAAATGAGACATTTTCTAAGCAGTCAAAGTTAGCTAGTTTTGTTTTTAAACTTTTGGATTTTCCAAACCAAATCATGAGAGTTTTAGTCATTTCTAACACAGAAAGTTTTGCACTCTAACAGATGCGTTGTTTTATACCCATGAACATGTGCTGTTGTTGCCAACAGAAATACTGATATTATTGACTGAAGTCCTATGTTGTAGCCCTGATCACAGCATTTGGAATCTGTTGCTCCATTGTTCACTCAATCGCTGGTGAAGTCACAACACTTTCCAGTTAATAAAGAGACCTCTTTGATGTGGAGAAAGAGGTATTGTTATTTTTGGATGTTGTCACTTTGTGTAAAATCTGGGACACTTCATCGAGAGTCAGAAGAACAAATTTATTGCTGTAGTGTGGGATTCTGCTTTTCTCATACTAAGTGAATTTAAATAATAAAAAAAAAAAAAATCAAATGAAACTGACTTCAATTTCTCTTTGCTTTAAGATCAAAAACTTTTTTGAAGGAGAGAAAACAGAAGTTTTGTGAGTCACTAATTGAATCACGGACGTTCCTAATGGTTCTCCGAGGGCATCAGACAAGCTTCTTTACTCGGCACTAAACAAAACCCTTGGATGTAGCCGGACGTCTGGAATTTTGAGGGATCGCTGAATCAGAGGCTAGTGTGCGGTTATGTTCTTGTTTTTGCCACAAAAGGAGGTTGTTATGAAACCATGCTCTAATAAGATCCATGTGAAGAGGTGAAAATGCTTTTGTGTGCTAGAAAAATACTTGTCCAAAACTGTGTGTGAGTTGATATGTAAAAGTGCGTTCGCAAACTCCGTTCCTCGAGGGTCACAGCAGGCATGGGTAGGGAACCTTTGAAATGGTCACGTGTTTGAGGCTGGTGTGTGGAAAAACATGTCTACTCTGCATTGCAAGGGTCAAATAAAGGAAGCGTGGTGCAATTGGTTAGTTTTGGAAAATAAGTAGCTATTGAATGAGAGAACGAGGAGGATGATATCTGAAGTAAGGTTTTCATTCCTGGGTCTAATGCACAGAGAAGCATATCTGACCCAGTGAGATATCATGCCCTGTTCAACACCACAAGCCTATAAATACATGTATGTGAGAAATAACTACCTTAAATAAGTTTGACTCCACCCCTGTTGCTATTACCCAATGACAGACCTAGAAAATACCCTCATTATTTTGAGGGTGCCAATGGATGATGTCAGAAATCCTACTAGAGCAGATTCAGCAGGTCTGAGTGGTATATTCCTGAAATCTTTGGTATGTTTTTCAATGTGCCTTAACTCTTGACACGATTGGTTGCTCAGCCTCTCTGCAACATCTCGACAGAAGAAAGGATTGTCTGCAAAGTCAGGATTGTAGTCCAAGTAGTCCTTCTTCTCCAATATATAGGAATGTAGTCCAAGTAGTCCTTCTTCTCCAATATATAGGATTGTAGTCCAAGCCAGATATATTGGAGAAGAACAATCACATCGTTTCAGCTCACATATGGGGCCTTTACCAAGTTTGATAAAGGTTCCTATGTGAATCAAAAGGTTGTGATTCTTCTTCTCTAATTGATCTGCCTTGGACCACAATCCTGACCTTCTGCTCAGTCCTTTCTATTGCTGTGTCTGTGAGGGAAGTATACCATGGGCCTTTTACACTCTGGCGAGTGTACAGCTCTGAAACATCTTTCTTCACCTATTAAAAAAGAGGAGGGGAATATACTGCAAAGCTAATCATGACAGACAAACAATATCATGTACATCGTTATAACATTTTTATTTTTTGTTGTACTTTGTTTGTTTTGTATTCTAAATAGGGCAATTCCACAAACGGGTAACAAATTAGGGAGCCATCTACTAAACATTTGAAATAAGTGGCATTTTTCTTAAATTTGCTGCTTCAGTTGCTTACTAAAATAAGTCTCTAAATTTAGACCGGTAATTATGACAATCCCAGGTATGGACAGGATACCAAATTAGGGAGCTATCTACTAATCAGTTCTCTAATTTGCTCTTTCAGTTGCTTAGTAGATCGTTTCCAATTTGATACCCTTAATTATACCAAATTGTGAATTTACCTGCTAAAAGGTCAAAATTAAAAAAAAAAACCTTTTCATAATTTTGCTATTTTATTTGCTTTATAGATAAGATCCTAATTTTCTCTCCTTGTGAAAACGAATGGATCCAAAAAAAGTTCCAATCAGTTTGTTCCAAAATCATTTGTTTTCGGTAGTTTTAGTTGCTGCCAAATTCAGAAACTTTTGAATTCTGAAATTCAGCCAAAATCCGATTTGTCCAAATCCGTATGCGCATGTCTATTAGATCATTAGTAAATTTCCCCTTCTCAATCATACCTCAGGCTGGCACTGAAGCTATTGGTTTAGAGAAAAATATATTATGCGTGTGAATTTTAGCAGGGGTCAGGAACTACTGCGGCTGTGCTCTCTCTGTGCTACTTCCAAGATGGCTGTTTGCTTCTCTCTACCGTGGGCACTTAACCCCTGGTGCTATAGTGGTGATGGCCCTGTGAATAGAATGTTTCCACTCATCAGCAACTGTTTCTGCTGCCCAAATTGCAACTCAATGGGAGCCCCTGAAAGTCCTTTAAGAAGACTAGGCATGTGCAAAACCTGCGAAAACAGGGCAGATTTCAAATCTGACCAATTTTTTTTTTTTACATGCCTTGTTGCTCTCAAGAAAACTTCTGTAGACAGCCACAAATCATTGGGAAGGTTCCTGCAGTACTGAACCTATTATAAAACTAAAGAGAGGCAGATTTTTTTTTTTAATATTAGCACACACACGTAAGCAGTAGCTGGGGTATATTAATCGACTTTTTTCCCCAATGCTTTTAGCTGTGCATGTAAAAACTGGTGGGGCCTCCACTGGGGCCTACATTCAGAAAACCAAGAGTTATGATGGCTTGAGGACCGACCTGAAAAATGTGTTCCAAAATAGCAATGAAGAAATAAATCGAACTGCACTTGTGATAAAATGAATTTTCTCTTTTTTTTTACTTAGTTATTTTGTTGTTAGTTTTTCAAGTCCGTTTCTAAGTCACCACAGCTTGTGGTTTAATGAATAGATGTCAAAGACTAAACCCGGCTGAACTCTGCAGCTCGGATACCAATGGACATCTTTAGTGGCCAGATACACACATGGATTTAAAGGGCAACTATCACATCCCTTGATAACTAGTATTATGTTCTCACGTCCTGTATATTTAACATTTATTTGTGAGATTTAAAAATAAAAATGCAACACCGAATATACCTTATATTTAGGAGAGTTCTTCTGCATCTTGACAAGCCTTTCAGATATTGTTATACATTCAGGCTGTTTCTGTCATTTAACAAAATAGAATGGGGACAAAAAAACTGAAACATTTCTCTTTTAGCTTCTAATTTTTCTCCTCCAATGCAGTGTGTCCAGGCTGTGGTCTGACTGAAGCGGATTATGATGTTAATTGATAAACTGTTAGTATCCCTTTAAAAGAAAATGGGGCATCACATAAAAATGGTTAACACGCAAATTATAGGTGCTTTTTATTGTTTTATTCAGTGGTGATAGTTCCCCTTTAAACTGATTTAGCGGGTAACATTTACAAATTAGGTTCCATCTAATTCCATCTAATTAATTTATTTCAGCTCCACTTCTGTGTGACAACACAACACGTGGAAATGTAGATATGTTGTCATAGATAACGAATTCTTATTTGAGTCAAACCCTTCGTCTGCAGAGGTATTTAGCAACCCTGAGTATGATTGCAAAACTATTTCCTGTTCTGTGTTCACATATAGTAAAGATTTTTTAAAAAGCTAAAGATCAGTTATCAACATCACGAAGGGTGTTTGGAGGACTTTTTTTGAAACCTTTCTTCTTTCATTTAAAGAAATAACTACTATTAATTACCCAGTAATTACAAAAAGGGAAATTCTCTGTATACTGCCTCTTCCCACCCAATTCACAAGATAGACAGACAGACAGACAGACATGCAGGCAGGCAGACAGATGAAAAGGTTGGTGGGAATATGACGTGAGTATGATGTACAGATGGAGCTAAATCCACTGAACGATCTCATTGCAAGTAACGGTGGAGAATCCATAGAAAGAGCCCCATGGTTTATAAATCTTTTCTCACCTCAACGCTTTAAATGTGGAATATTAATGTTTGGTTTTATAAATAAACAGAATAAACAATGTAAAATGATCGTATGCCGTTATTTTATAACAATAGCAGTTATAATAATAATGAAATTAAGAAAGGAGTACTTTATTGTACTCTTTTAATAGGCTACAATTTGTCAATATCCTACCACCACCAAATGAGACCAGATTCTTATGCGATCGCTTCATCCAAGTGTGGACTAAACATGCTCATTTTAAAAAAAACTTAACTTTTTTGAAATTTCATTAAAATGACAGAAGAAAGAAAAGAAAGTTACAAAGACATCAGAAGCTCAGACCAAATGTTCAGTCTTTGGCTAGACATCTAGACATCTACATCAAACCATCTGGGTTGGTTTATTAAAGGAATGCTATTTTGTTAGAAATACAAATGTGTTCCCCGACCTATGTAAGTCTCCTTTTTCCCTATGTAAGTCTCCTTTTTATTTACCTTACATCCCGTGGTGTACTGGTCTTCCTTCTGGTGCTCCACCTCTCTCTCTCTGGCAATGTCAGCCAATCCAATGCTTCCCCATAGAGCAGCGTTGGAAGGTTAGTGTACATGCACAGCAAAATGCCGCTCTGCGTCAATCAAATACTCTCAACGACACATAAACAAGTTTAACTCCATTATAGCTGCAGAAGTACCTCTAGTGTCTGTCTTTGTATTTACCCTGAAATGAAAACATTGCCGCTTCTGCAATACGGCAATATTTTCAGTTCCAGGGTTAAACAGACAGAGACATAGCACCCAAAACCATTTCATCTCAATAAAGTGATCTCGGTGTAGGGGCCCTTTAATTTGAATCCTGCAATGTAGAACTTGGTCGTTGAGTAGATATGACAATGTTGTGATTGCATGGTTAACATGCCTCTAGTGCTGTCTTCCTGACAGTCACTAACCAGGGCTTTCACTTCTACGACCTTCTATGACTGTGTCATGTGACTTTAACATGCCGACACTTTGCATGAGGACATTGGACATGTGTCCAAATTTCATCCCCAAGGCTTCTCTATGAGAAGAATGCGATTGGACAATTATCGAGGAAGCAACGCCTGCTGTATGAAGTCGTACGAGAAGGAATTGGCTCCAGCACCTTTATTACTTTATTTTACAGCTTGAAGCGAGGCATCTTAATATAAAAAGGGACTAGTACACTGTAGTGTTACGAATACATGTTTTTATTCCTAATGCTATAGTGTTCCTTTAAGCGGGGCATTTGTTTGTAAAGAAGAAAATAATTCTGCCTGTTTGGATTTGAACCAAGTTCTCTTTGTATGATATTTACAGATTAGGGTAAAAACCTATTTGTTTTATTTTTTTATACAAGGCTGAAAATATTATAAAGACAGAGATGGCAGCAGAGTACACATCCTCTAAAAAAAGAATCGTGGGGGAAAAAATTATATTTTTTTAGATAACTAAATTTTAAGAGGTTTTCAGCCTGCATAGTTCCTCTCTGGTCTCTTTGAGATTAGAGTTCCGTTTCTCACTCTTTTTATTACACCTTGACTGATAACTGGTCACACATGTTTAAAGGAATCGTTGTTTTAGCAGTTTTTCTAAGAACAACTTAAGTTGTTTTCATGGAACAAAAGTCTTCAAAATAACCAAAATGGAAACAAACAAAGAACATATAAACCCACAAAAGTTCATGATTATGCTCACATTTATATCTCTCGGAAGCGTTATGGCTTAAAATTTCCCATACACAAAACATGATAATAGTTTGATTATAATTACTGTACTGAGTTTATTCGGTTACTAGAATAAATGGAGAAGTGGGAAGATAGTAACATAGAGCAGTGGGTAGAGGGACGTTATCACAGAGACGTACGTAGCATTAAAAGAATGTTACCGCAGAAGAAGAAGGCCTACTGTGGATTAGTAGGTAACAGGAGAATATCACATAGTAATGGGTATTGGTGGAAGCAGGGGAACAATGTGTATGGGCAAAGTGGCGAGAATCACCCGAACGACTGATTGGTCATCCTGGCATGAACACACGCCTGGCTGTCTGTCAATCATCCATGCCAGTCCACTGAGGGTGGACCACGCAGGGACCACTGTTAGTGCCATGTGCATAGCACAAGCACATTTTATGATGTACTTTTGGGGGACAAAAGAGGGACACCGGATGGGAAAAAAAAAAAATTGGTACTGTCACACCAAAATTAAGATGGCTGGGAGGCATGTGACTATCATGGAGGAACGTGTAGTGAGATTAGAACTTTGTAGAGGTAAAGAATACCAAAATGTTTAACTTCTTTTTCATTGCTTTGTATAATATACATAAACAAAACATCTAAACACATCAATCCCACATAGTATTTTCAGTATAATTGTCAATTAAAATAACATTTCTTGTTGATGAGTTTCCTTTCGTCAACTAATTTTCATAGACAGAGGTAGACTCTGAAAATGCCATCTTCGTATTGGTGGATGTTACACTACAGTATACGGTTATTCATGAAGAACAAGGAGTCACTGCTTCACCGAATGTTACGCACATGAGGGGCCACCACAATCCACAGAGAGTTCTATAGTTCTTTATGTTCCTTGCAACCACAGTATAATGTTTGGAAAAACTAAAACCTCTTTGTTTGGTTTCAGTTTGTATGTGCTAGGTTTGGCAATATGTATCAGACCACCAAAACATTATATGGAAAATGGATTTTTACTGTGAAATTGCACTGACCAGAGGCGCCACCAGAGCTACAATTTACGGGTATTGAGAAGGAGAGAAAATGCAGCTAATTATTGTGTTGCCAGTAAGTGCCTGGTTTACTCATTTACCAACCTAGTAACGTCTATGAGACATGTATTGATATAATTCTAGTAGGGTAACAACATATTTAAGGCACAGAAATACAATAGTAAAAAGCTAATTGAAGGATTTATATTCTAAACAGTGAGGGGCAATTTGGGAAGAGACTTCAAAAAATTTCAATCAAAATAATATAGTTATAAAAGTAACTGCAAGCCTGTTGAATGTGAGACTTTTTCCACCCTTCCAACTACATTTACAACGTGGAGAGTCACTACAAATGCTGTTTAGTGTATGGACCCCTTTTCATATTATGGCCTTTAATTTAATATTGTTGAAGAACCTTTTCAAATGATTTCATATTTTTAAATGAACTTTAAAAAAAAATTAAAAATTTTAAAATATAAAACAATTGTTGTACATAAAAAATAAAAATAAAGAAATATATATAAATCTAAATAATATAAAATGTTTATCCAAAGATAAATTATTTGAAAAGCTAAACCAAAAATATTAAATTGAGGCCTATACATGTAAAAATGATGAAACTCAATAATAAAGTTATTACTCTGCACAGCCAGATTTCGCTCAGAAGCGAGGCCAAAGGGTTTCTGATCACTGGGTGCATTCTGAATTTTACTTGGATAAGTCTTTAATTTTCCCAGGTTACATTGGGAAACTTTGGGAAAGTTACATTTTGCAACTTCACTGTTTACATTTAGTAAACAAAACAAAAAAAAAACAAGTACAATTTGCCAGAAATGTGAAATGGGTTAAAAAATTATTCTCAAACTCTGGGCAAAAATAGTCAAATTGGAAAAAATCCTCAGGTCAGCTATCATTTCAGTTTGGCTATTTTACAATAAAATTCAAAATTCTGCGATATTCCCACTTTAATGATAACCCTGTAAGGGAGTACATTATATAATCTATTGTGGGATTATAACACGGCCATGTTCATGAAAACACCTCTACAAACGCCAAGCAGACACGGGCAACAACTGTAAGAAAATTTAAATATCAACAAATGCTACATTGTGTGAAGAGTTAATATATTGCAGAAGGAATATCATCACCTTTAAAGGATCACTATAGGGTCAGGAACACAAACATGTATTCCTGACCCTATAGTGCTAAACCCACCATTTAGGTCGCTTGCCCCTCCTTAACCCCCCATAAAACTCCCCTTATTTCCAGCGCTGCACGGGTCTTTTCTCTGAAAAGGCAGTGTTTACAAAAAAATGCCTGCAGGCAATGATTATACTCACCAGAACAACTACATTAAGCTGTAGTTGTTCTGGTGACTGTAGAGTCCTTTTAAAGAAGATCTCTCACTCCCATATCAAAAACGAATATCTCATAAATACTGAAGTATCAGGAGGTGAAGACCCCCATGGCCACCAGACCCCCAGCAGCAAAGTCACCTTTGGGGGTCTTGTCAAATTTTACAAACACCGCAGACAGTGACAGAGATGCTTTAACCCTGACCCTAAACACTCCCGACTCTACTACGACTACTGTAATGATACAGAATTACTCCACCTTCGAGTAAACAGCTGCACTCGGTGACATTACATAAAGGGTCATAATTATTAACCACTAGTGATGTCCCAAACTGTTCGCCGAACGGAACTCATCATTGAGTAAACTTTGACCCTGTACCTCACAGTCAGCAGACACATTCCAGCCAATCAGCAGCAGACCCTCCCACCCAGACCCTCCCACCTCCTGGACAGCATCCATTGTGAAGCTGCATTCTTAGTGAGCTGTCCAGGAGGTGGGAGGGTCTGGGAGGGAGGGTCTGCTGCTGATTGGCTGGAATGTGTCTGCTGACTGTGAGGTACAGGGTCAAAGTTTACTCAATGATGAGTCCGTGGCGAACCGTTCGTGGCGAACCGTGGCGAACCATTCGCGAACCGTTCGGCAAACAGTTCGGGACATCACTATTAACCACACTATAAGAAAACCATGTTTAGATTTGATAATTTACTGTATGGCAAAGCATACAGTATTTACTGTATGGCAAAGCATCATGGGATTTGTAGTTCTTAAAAAGCTGATGAGCTGTCTATTGGCCACCCTTACTTTAGATGACTTGGTATGATGAAATACTCCAGGTTTAAATTTAAAACATCTTTC